CCCTCACTGCCCCTCATGCCTAGAACTCCTTGCTGTTTTTCCTCACTGCCCCTCATGCCTGGAACCCTCTGTGATTCTCCCTCACTGCCCCCTCATGCCTGGAATTCCCTGCCATTCTCCCTCACTGCCCCTTATGGCTAGAACTCCCTGCTGTTCTCCCTCACTGCTTCTTATATCTGGCATTCTCTGTCATTCTCCCTCAGTGTCCCTCGTGCTTAGAACTCCCTGCTGTTCTCCCTCAATGCTTCTTATATCTGGAATTCTTTGTCATTCTCCCTCACTGTCCCTCATACTTAGAACTCCCTGCCATGCTCCCTCACTGCCCCTCATGCCTAGAACTCCCTGCCATGCTCCCTCACTGCCCCTCATGCCTGGAACTCCCTGCCATTCTCCCTCACTGCCCCTTATGGCTAGAACTCCCTGCTGTTCTCCCTCACTGCCTCTTATACCTGGAATTCTCTGTCATTCTCCCTCACAGCCCCTTATGCCTAGAACTCTCTGCCGTGCTCCCTCACTGCTCCTCATGCCTAGAACTCCCTGCCATGCTCCCTCACTGACCCTCATGCCTAGAACTCCCTGCCATGCTCCCTCACTGCCCCCTCATGCCTGGAACTCCCTGCCATGCTCCCTTGCTACCCTTTATACCCAAACTCCCTACCATAATCCCTCACTGCCTCTTATGCCTAGAACTCCCTGCTGTTCTCCCTCACTGCCCCTCTTGCCTGGAACTTCCTGGCATTTTCCCTCACTGCCCCTCACTCCTCAAACTCTCTCCCAGGATACCCACGTGGCGCTCCCACCTTTTGACTTTATCCTTTTGCCCTCCATCTCCTAGGGGAAGGAAATTCCACATCTAATGCAAGCAAATGCATATTCCCCCCCATCCCCCCTCCCGTCCCTCTTCCTCCCCTCCCTGTCTTCTGTTTATTGATTTAAGTGGCTTTCTGACAAAAGTAAAAAAAAGAAAAAAGTGAAACAGCAAATCCCAGCATTAAAAAAACACAGTCAAACAATCTAACCTGGCAGTTAGCGCTTTAATTTTTTTAAAAAAATCCCATAGAGGGTGCATCAGCATGTAGAAGTGTAACATAAAGGGGATAAACAGGGGTATGGACGTTGGCACTGTGGAGGGAGGCAGGATGACCAATCAGTAACATATAACTGATGGTGTTTTCAAAAAAGAGAGAAGAAAATTCCACATCTCCCCCAGGAGTTTGCAGCTGGTGCCTGAAGCACTGAGAGCTATCTGGGTAAAGTCCCACGAGAGCCAGTTTGGTGTGGCGGTTAAGAGCGCGGACTCCAGTACCTGGGAGAACTGAGTTTGATTCCTCACTACTCCGCATGCAGCTGCTGGTGTGACCTTGGGTCAGTCACAAGGTCTCTTGGAGCTATTCTCTCAAGGGCAGTTCTCGAAAGAGCCTTCTCGGCCCCACCTGCCACACAGGGTGTCTGTTGTGGGGAGGGGAAGGGAAAGGAGATTGTAAGCCGCTCTGAGACTCCTTCGGGTAGTGAAGGGCGGGGTGTAAATCCAATCTCTTCTTCTTGAAGTAGCTGCTGACTTATGGCGACCCTGTAGGGTTTTCAAGGCAAGAAACGTTCAGCATTGGTTTGCCCTTGGCTGCCTCTGCGTCACAACCCTGGGCTTCCTTGGTGGCCTCCCATCCAAGCACTAACCAGAACTGACCCTGCTTAGCTCCTGAGATCTGATGAGATCGGGTTTGCCTGGGCCGTTCAGATTGGGGCACCAAGAGCTATGCACCCTATGGAATGGTGTTAGGGGGAGCCACAGTCTCTGGCCTCCCCCCTCCCATGCTCTCTGGTGAGCATTCAACTGCATGCTCATTGGGGCAAAGACCCAACTTCTTGTTTCCACGGACGGCACCAGAAGACGTTGACAGCATTCTGTCAGTATTAGCGCTCTCTGAGGTAACCCGGTCCTCTGTCGGCAGGTATCTTCAAGTACTTGAAGGGCTGTCGTATAGAGGATGGTGCAGAGTTGTTTTCTGTTGCCCCAGAAGGTCGGACCAGAACCAACGGGTTGAAATTAGATCAGGAGAGTTTTCGGCCAAACATGAGGAAGAACTTCCTGACAGAGTGGTTCCTCAGGGGAACAGGCTTCCTCGGGAGGTGGTGGGCTCTCCTGCTTTGGAGGTTTTCAAGCAGGGGCTCGATGGTCATCTGACAGCCATGCGGATTTGGTGAACTTAGGCAGATCGTGAGAAGGGAGGGCTGGAAGGGTTGCCTCCATGCTTAGTTCTTGTGACGCCTTCTTACATGCCCAGGGAAATGCCGATCGCCACTTTGGGGTCAGGAAGCAGTTTTCCTCCAGGCCAGTTTGGCCAGGGATCCTGGAGGTTTTTTGGCATCTTCTGGGCATGGAGCAGGGGTCACTGGGGATGTGTATGGGGGGGGGAGAAGGTTTTTGTGAATTTCCTGCCTTGTGCAGGGGGTTGGACAAGATGACCCTTGGAGGTCCCTTCCAACTCTATGGTTCTATGATCTGGCTACTAATATATATATATAACACTCTACTACACATAACATATATACCAAGAGTGCAGTTACATTATATGCTTATATGCAATTACTTAATTAATAAAAACACTATATCAAATACTTTCCATTCTTCTATCTTCTGTGTTCTCAAGTCCATTGCGCTATCCTTGCCTAATCTTCAATTACATTTGCATTATACCAATCATAAAACTTTTCCCATGTGAATTTCCTGCCTTGTGCATGGGGTTGGACTAGATGACCCTTGGAGGTCCCTTCCAACTCTATGGTTCTACGATCTGGCTACTAATATCTTCTTGTGCGTGACCCAGATAGTACAGGCTAGCTCGATCTCGGAAGCTAGGCAGGGGTCAGCCCTGATTAGTACTTGGATGGGAGAGCTCCAAGGGAAGTCCAGGGTTGCTACGCAGAGGCAGGCAAGGGCAGACCACTTCTGAACGTCTCTTGCCTTGAAAACCCCACAGCTGTGACCTGACAACCCCCTTCAAGTACAAAATAGATCCTAACATCTGTAGGATAAAATGGAGGAGGGGATTTTTTTTTCTGGGGGGAATGCGCCGGAAGAACGGAGCTCCAGAACCTCTTCCACAAAATTCTTTTAAAAGTGTTTGGAAGTTCATGAGTGTTCAGGATACAGACTGTAAACTTCATTTCCCTCTTGAGAGTTCGGGCACCTCTTTTATTTCTGTTAGAAGAAGAAGAAGAGGAAGAAGAAGGAAGAAGAAGGAAGAAGAAGGAAGAAAGAAGAAGAAGGAAGAAAGAAGAAGAAGAAGAAGAAGCCGCCGCCCTGGAGGGGAGAATGTTTTAAGCCACTTTGCGGAGAAAATAAATTTTGGTGGGGGATGATACTGTATACCATTTAATAAAATAGCGCCAGCACTCATAAGGAAGAGAAGAAGAAGAAGATATTGGATTTCTACCCCGCCCTTCACTACCCAAAAGTGTCTCAGAGCGGCTTACAAACTCCTTTCCCTCCCCACAACAGGCACCCTATGAGGTGGGTGGGGCTGAGAGAGCTCTTGACAGAAACTGCTCTTTTTCAAGAACAGCTCTTATCAGAGCTACGGCTTGCCCAAGGCCATCCATCCAGGTGCAAGTGGAGGAGTGGGGAATCAAACCCGGTTCTCCCAGATTAGAGTCCGGGCACTTAACCACTACACCAAACTGGCTCTCGAGAACAAAGTTTGAGTCCAGTGGCACCTTTAAGACCAACGGAGGAGGAGGAGATTGGATTTATACCCCGCCCTTCACTCTACCCCGCCCTTCACTACCCAAAAGTGTCTCAGAGCGGCTTACAAACTCCTTTCCCTCCCCACAACAGGCACCCTATGAGGTGGGTGGGGCTGAGAGAGCTCTTGACAGAAACTGCTCTTTTTCAAGAACAGCTCTTATCAGAGCTACGGCTTGCCCAAGGCCATCCATCCAGGTGCAAGTGGAGGAGTGGGGAATCAAACCCGGTTCTCCCAGATTAGAGTCCGGGCACTTAACCACTACACCAAACTGGCTCTCGAGAACAAAGTTTGAGTCCAGTGGCACCTTTAAGACCAACGGAGTTTAATTCTGGGCATAAGCTTTTGTGTGCAGGCACTGACCAAACTTTGTTGGTCTTAAAGGTGCCACTGGACTCATGCTTTGTTCCGTTGCTTCACACCAACACAGCTACCCACTTGAATCTACACTCGCAAGGAAGCAAGTTCTTTAATGGCCGGCATGTATACTCGGAGGTAAATCCCTTTGAGTTCAATGGGATTTACTCTCTTGTCAGTGGAGTTTGCATTGCAGTCCAAGAGGGTGATCTCGGAGGTCCCGGATTCGAACTTTTTGGGCAAACCTTTCCCTCCCCATCTAGGGGATGAGAGTACCGATGTACCTTACAGGGGTGTTTGTACAGTGGGGTGTTCGTAAAGGGATATATTTATGAACACTCCAAGGCACTGCTTAATGCTAAGGGGAAAGGCTCCTATTTAAAACAGCACACTAGAAAGGGAAATCGCACACTTAAAGCAAAGCCAATTAAAATTAACTTCTCCTTGCACTGATTGGCAAGCAAAAGCCTTTTGTAATTGTTCTACAGTCTAATGCTAAGTATGCCTCACAGGGTTGTTGTGTAAGCTAACCTGCGCTGCTCGGAAAGAGCTAAATAAAGATTGTGGTTCTTGGCAAGAAATCCTAAAGATGAGCAGAGGAGGGAGTTGCCAGGGCGGCGCAGTGGTTAGGGCCCTAGGGTAGGATGGATGAGACCCGGGTTCGAATCCCTCCTCCACCTTGAAGCTCTCTGGGTTACCGCAGGCCCTTTTTCTTTCGGCCTGTCTTGACTTCCCAGGGTTGTTGTGGACATGAAAGAAGTGGAGTCAGAGAAGCAGGTGCTGATTTGTGTGTTTTGATGTGTTGCGGGGGTGGGGGTGGGGTGGGGAGGTGGTTTCCTTTGTCCTTTCCTCAGTTTCCTTTCCCCCTTTCCCCCTCCCTTGCAGCGTCTCCCATGGGCCTGATCAACTGCCAGCGCATGCCATGGAACTGTGCGCCAAGAAGCACCCCCCAGGTAAGGGCCCCCAAGTGGACAGGAAGGGATGGGGGGGTCAGGAAAGAGACAATGTGTGAGAGAATGGGGGGAAACCCCCCACAAAGCTCTGCGGGTGACCTCGAACCGCTCACTGTTTATCAACTGGGTAAGGCTGCCAACTTACTTGTACCGGCTCCTGCGCCTTCAGCACGCATTGGCGACTGAGTTAGGCTCCTTTCCACGCTGCAAAAAGGCTGAAGCTCACCGGATCGGATCTAGATTACACTGTAGCTTTGCCCCTGTCGGTCAACACCGGCACGCCAATGTAATCAGCTACAACTCTGATCAATTCTTTAATAAAACCAATTACAACCACAGCCTTACTATTCCAGCACACATCAGCAGCTTGAGCATACGGCTGCCAATTTCAGCCACTGTATTTCAGCCGCAAGCCGTGGAGCCAGCCGGGCTGGGTTTTTAATTTTATGGCTCCCGATCGGCTGGCGAGCTTCTGGCCTACCTTGCAGGGGTGTCGTGTGGGTGACACGCACGGGAGGGCAGGGAAACCACAGCGAGTCTCCTTTGGAGGAGGAGGAGGAGAGATACAAGGAAATAAGAAATAAAACAGGGATGGTCTCGGGAAGCAAGCTTGGGGGGGGCAAAGGGGGGAAACTGGGGGTGGGGAGACACAGCAAGTCAGGCGGGGTGGGTGGGCCGCTAGACAGCATCTGTCACCCTCCGGGTGTCTCTGTCTTGCTCCGTCAGCTCTAGCAGGGGAGACCGATGGGGGGCAGCAGCCCGGAGAAGCGGTCCCCCCCCCCAGGCAACGGTTTCCTAGGTGACGCCATCCCGGCCCCTCACTGGCTGCCGGATGGCGGTGGGCGGCCCCAGCTCTTCAATGTCAGCGTGGAGTTTTCCCCTGCAGCGAGTGAGGAGGGGGAGCCGGAGCAGGATGGGGGGGACGCGCCGGGACCGGGGAGGCCGGCGGGGGGCCACCGTCTAAGCCCCAGGAGGGGGATCTCCTGGACGGCCCCCCCCCCCAACCCCCCCTGCCCACACCCTAAGCCAGCCCTGCGGTAACCATGACGATCCCCAAGGAGATGCCCGAGAAATGGCCCTGGGTCGCTGTGGCGACGGCCAGCCGTGGCCAGACGCTTGGGGGGACAGGTATTGGTATTTTTTGGGGGGGGGGTTTGATGTGAAAGTGGGGGGGGGTCGGAGAGCAGGGGCCGGGGGTCTCAGAGAGCCCCCCTCCACTCCCTTCCCCGGCTTTGTCCTGAATCGCTCTCCCTCTCTTGAGACTGCTGTCATTGCAGCCTTCTCCACACATTACCTCATTCTCCGCCTGGCCCCCCCCCCATCCCGGTCCTCTCCTTTGCATTCCAGCTTGGTGTTTTTTTTGGGGGGGAAAGGTGGGGGGGGGAGGCTGCCGTCTTGACCGAAGGGATAGCCCCCTCCCTTCCGTCCCTGCCGGTGACCTTCAAGTCTTTATTGGGGAGGGGGTCCAAGAGTTAAGGAAGAAGGTCACCCGTATGGGACGCCAGAGAGAGAATCGCAAACCCAGAGGAGTGCCCCCCCCCCTCCGGTTTCCTCCCATATTCGGGGCCGGTAGAGAAAGCTTGGGGTGCAGACCTGGGGGGGGTGAAAGTTTTTTTGGGGGGGTTCGAATCAGCCGTCCTTTGTGCGACACTGGGGCGGGCCAAGGTCACGGCAGTTGAGGGGGAAAGTGTTGTGGGTCGGGACTGGGAGGGGGCCGGCGAACCGGGGTACGTGCGGGTCGGGTATCGTGGCTGGGGTGGGGGGCACAAAAAGCTACCAACTGACTCCCCCCTTGCTCTGTTCCAGAGGAGGAAAGGAGGGTGAAAGCGAATGCCCGGGAGTATAATGAAAAGTTCCAGTATGCGGTGAGTGGGGTCTCTCGGGGGTCTCTCGGGTGGGTTTTGGGGCCCACTTTTAGCGGTGGTGGGGAACGTCTCGATCCAGACGGAGATGCCATAAGTATAACCGAAGGCGCTTTTAGAAATAGAACAGGACTGTGGTCTGTGCCACGGTGTATGGCACGCGTTATCTGTTTAATGCGCGTTCTGTCTTCCTCTTACAACATTGTTTTCTCCTTTTGGTAGCTCCAGTTGAGGGCAGAGTGGTTGTTAAAGGGGGGGTGTTATACAGCCAGGAAGGGTGATTCTGTGGCAGTTGCTATTGGAATCCAGACCTGGTTGGGAACATTTTGGGGGGGTGGGGAGATCGAAGCTCTCTGGTCCGTCCCCTACTTTTGCATGCAAAAGATCGGGGGGGGGGCGAGGAAGACCCTTCTCTGCGGCAGACCCTGACGGCAGCTACCGACTGGAGAAGGCATTGCTGAGCTGTATGGATCAGGGGTCTGAAGCACGTAGGGTTACCAACTCTGAGAGATTCCTGGAGATTTGGGGGTGGCTCTTAGGGAGGGCGGGGTTTGAGGCTGGGAGGGACCTCAGCGGGGTACAGTGCCACAGAGTCCACCCTCCGAATGGGGTTGCCAGTCTCCAGGAGGTGAATAGATAGATAGATAGATAGATAGATAGATAGATAGATAGATAGATAGATATAGACAGAGGTCATTTCGGGGGGGAACGCGGGCCCTGAATACTCAGCCTCCACTTTCAGACAGTAATATTTTAAAACATAATTGTTTTTTAGACAATGATTCTTGTAGCTGAGAAATATAACTTTTTTAAAAAAAGTTTTTTTAAAATTTATTTATATTTATTTATTAATTCAATTTATACCCCGCCCTCCCTGCGAGCAGGCTCAGGGCAGCTTACGTTAGCTGGTACACAAGTACCGATAAAATTCACATAAAATCAGTTGAAACGGTTCAAATACAGTTACGATACAGATACAATAAAATCATAAAATCCTAAAGTGCTGGCGGTAGTTGATGAATTACTTGACGTGGCGTGCAAAGAATGCATACACATTGTTTCCCCGCTCGGTGCTTTCCCTAAATCACATGGTGGCAAAGGCCAAATATCAAAACCAGGGCCAGGATCTAAAGCCACGCTTGGTGGTGGTGGTAGTCGTGCGGGCGGCTCCTTAGTTGAAAGCCTGGTGGAAGAGCTCCGTCTTGCAGGCCCTGCGGAACTGCAAAAGATCCCGCAGGGCCCTGATCTCTTCCGGGAGCTCATTCTACCAGGATGGAGCCGCCACTGAAAAGGCCCTGGCCCTGGTAGTAGCCTCCAGGGTGGTGTCCCCAGGTAGTGGCTGGAGATCTCCCGAAATTACAACTGATCTCCAGGCGACAGAGATTAGGGCCCCTGGAGAAAATGGCTGCTTTGGAGGGAGGGGTCTATGGCATTGGACCCCACTGTGGTCCCTCCCCTCCCTAAACCCCGCCCTCCCCAGGCTCCACCCCTGAAAAGTACTGGAGTTCCAGGCGTTGCATAGTGAAATCGGCTAACATTTATTGATTACATCAGAACGAAAAGAGATAACTTAACCAGTGCGAGGCTAGCTTATATTCGTGCACACGCTCACACCCAACACCCTCCCAATTCCCGTGATAGGTTCTATATACATGGCCCCGGTAACGATAGGTTCTTATCAGGATCCTAGCGCTCCCATTGGTTCTCGCTAGGATCCGCGGTGGCTATTGTTCTAGACCTGAAGGTCTGTGAGCCCGGTAGACCGCATGGCCAGGCGCACGCGATCGCAGCCATCTTAATAGATAACAACCCCCAAGAGCTCCAGGTATTTCCCAACCCAGAGCTGGCAATGCTACCTCCAAAGCAACAACCCCTCCACCCCCCGGAACTGATCTGTGTTGTCCGGAGAGCAGCTGTAATTGCAGGAGACCTCCAGACCCGGTCTCGAAGTTCAACAAACACATGGGAAACATGGCAAGGTTGAGCAAACGGGGGGAAACACCACGCTAATACAAAATATGCTACCACGCCTTCATATGTCTCTTTAAATCGTATACTTAAATATACAACAAAAACCCTAGTGTATCTCATTCAGGGGTCATTTCGTAGAAAAAGAGGTGCAGGAGCTCATTAGCATAGCTCATTAGCATGACTTATTTGCATAGGCCACACCCCCTGACATCACCGGAAGTGTGTCAGAAGGCAACACCCACTGCTCAGGCTCCACTGGACTGTTTTGGATTGCTCGCTATTGGGGGGAATGGGGAACGTGTAGATCCGTCCTCACAAAGGAGGGAGAGCTTGTACCTGAATAAAACTTGGTCTTAAAGGTGCCACTGGACTGTTTTGGGCCGAGGGGGAGCTCTGCAACTTACCTGGCTGCTTCTTGCTCTGACTGAGGGCTGCTGGGACCAGGGGGTGGGGCTTGCTGCATGTGACCGCCCCCTGGGCTCCTTACTGTCGGAGCTCCGCTCCTGTGCGCTCCCGCAGGAAATGACCCCTGATCTTATTCATTATAGCACATTGATAACAAAAACCTAAAGTCTCTCATCAGAAAGCGAGACAGTCTGCAGCGTTGAATCCTGTCTGTATGTTTGTCTCTGTGGCTGTGGACTTTTCTACAAGAGATATATATTGTTCTGTAGGTTTTTGTTATCAGTGTGCTGTAATGAATAAGATACACTAGGGTCTTTATTGTATATTTAAGTATATGACTTAAACGGACATATGAAGGCATGGTGGCGTATCAGAATTGTGTGTTTTGTTTTAACATGGTGTTTTTCCACGTTTGCCCTGCTTGGAAGTTGACAACCCCGGACCCAGGATAAGGCATCTTCCTGTTGGGGGGGGGCGTTTTTCCCAAAGGGGTTTCTTTGTCCGCGGTCTGCTCCCCTCCTCCCCCCACGACCCACCCCTTGAGCCTTGGGCGTGTCTTTGAATAACTTCCCATCCGGAGACAAAAGCCAGTCTGCGGTTATAAATAGGTCTTGGGGGGGGGGCCTGCAGAAAGCACGGGTGGGGGAGGGGTGGTCGAAGGAAGGAGACCTTTTCCCTTACCCGGATGTTCCATTCTTACTGCCCCTTCCCCAGGGGGCTGGGGGGTTCACTCTCTGAAACAAGGAAATGGAATAATGGTCGCTGAAGAGGCATGCGTGCACACGGAAAACTTATACCCAGGATTAAACTCTGTTGGTCTGAAAGGTGCCGCTGGACTCCCAACTTTGTTCTGTTGTTTCGGGCCAACGAGGCGACCCCACCTGAATCTGTCTTTTTTTTGTCTTTCTCTTTTTTTTGTATTGGTGGACTGGAAAAATAAGGTTGCCAGCTCCGGGTTGGGAAATATCTGGAGATTTGTGGGTGGAGCCTGGGGAGGGCGGGATTTGGGGAGGGGAGGGGCCTCAGCGGAACCAGCGAGCCCACCCTCCAAAGCAGCTATTTTCTCCGGGGGAACTGACCGTGGCCACTTGGAGATTGATGGTAATGGCAGGCTATTTCCAGGTACCACCTGGAGGTTGGGAACCCTAGGTGTGGTGGTGGGGGAGACGGGTCGTTCCTGCTCACTTCACTTCCCCTTCCTATAACTCCTCCCTCCCCTCTTTTGTTTCTCTTTCTCCTCCAGAGTAACTGCATCAAGACGTCCAAGTACAACATGGTCACCTTCCTTCCCATCAACCTCTTCGAGCAGTTCCAGGAAGTGGCCAACACCTACTTCCTCTTCCTCCTCATCCTCCAGGTGCGGCTCCCGCGGGGCCTCTCCGCTTCAGGGGTGGGATGGGGGGGCACGGCTTCCCCCACAGCCAGGACTGGTTCTCTGCAGTTGCTGGGGGTGACCCATTGAGAAGGGTGCGCCATCAATCGCACGGAAAGTGACTGGCGGTCCATGCTGGAGTCACACCACAGCCAGCGTGTTAGACTAGGGTCTGGGAAACCCAGGTTCAGATCCCCACTCTTCCACGGAAGCTTGGTGGGTGACCTTGGGCCAGCTTGACCTACCTCACAGGGTTGCTGTAGGGTTGCCCGGTCCCCTTGTTGTGTCAGTGGGGGGATTTGGGGGCATTCCGGGACCTCCCCGACATGATGACATCATCATCATGTCATCATGTCAGTGACGTAGGGGGCAACGTTCTGGTTTTTGGGCAAAACTCTATGATGAAACTGGCTTCAAACCATAGATTTTTACCCTCAAACTAGAGCGTCGCCACATGACATCCCTGACATGATGACGTCACTTCTGGGTGACATCATTGCCTCAGGGATGTCACACAGCAACGTCGCTGTTTGGGGGCTTAGTTTTCCCTGCTGGCCAGTTGGCCGGTGGTGGGCAAAAGCCCCCAAAACCAGGGGAATTCCCACCCAGACCTGGGGACTAGTAACCCTAGGTTGCTGTGTGGATAAAATGGATGACAGGCAAATGATGTATGTTGCTTAATTCCCGATCCCTTGCTAGGCGTGTTTTTCCCTTGAGGAGGTGTAAGGAACAAGTGAGGCACAGTGGTCAGGGTGTCAGATGGGGATCTCGGAGGCCGGGTTCAGTTCCCCGCTGTACCGTGAAAGCTCGGGCCAGTCACACAGTCCCAGCCTGGCTTTCCTCGCAGGGCTGTTGTGAGGATAAAGCAGAGGAAAGGAGAACTATATAAGCCAGTGTGGGGAGAAAGCCAGGGTATATGTGAAGAGAGAAAGAAAGAAAGAAAGAAAGAAAGAAAGAAAGAAAGAAAGAAAGAAAGAAAGAAAGAAAGAAAGAAAGAAAGAAAGAAAGAAAGAAAGAGGAACAGAGAAAGGAAGAGGTGGAAAGAAAGTAAATAGATGGGAAGAGAGGAGTGGAAGACAGACAGAGAGAGAAAGAGAAAGAAAGAAAGAAAATAGTTGGGGAGAGAGGGAGGGAGGAAGGAAGGAACAGAGAAAGGAAGAGGTGGAAAGAAAGCAAATAGATGGGAAGAGAGGAGTGGAAGACAGACAGAAAGAGAAAGACAGACAGAGAGAGAAAGAGAGAAAGAGAAAGAAAGAAAGAAAATAGTTGGGGAGAGAGGGAGGGAAGAAGGGAGGAACAGAGAAAGGGAGAGGTGGAAAGAAAGCAAATAGATGGGAAGAGAAGAGTGGAAGGCAGACAGAAAGAGGCACTTTGCTGTTGACGACCCTTCCTCCTCTCTTCACTCATTGCAGCTGATCCCGCAGATCTCCTCCCTCTCCTGGTTCACCACCATAGTGCCTTTGGTTCTCGTGCTCACCATTACGGCGGTCAAGGATGCCACCGACGATTATGTAAGCGGCGTGGGAAGTGGGCGGGGCTCGGGGGAAGGGGCAGCTGTTTGGGGCCAGGACAGGTAAGTCTGATTCAGGTGTGTATCGGGGGATTCGGGTGTGGCTCTAGTGATTTCGGGTGTGTATTGGTGGTGCTGGCACTGGGGATTTGCTGGCCCACCTCGGTTTGCGCAGAGGATGCGTCCTTGAGTATGTGTGACTGTTTTGGGGATACGTGACTGTTTTGGGGATGCGTTGTATTATTATTATTATTATTATTATCATCATCATCATCATCATCATCAATAATAATAATAATAAAGATAATGATAATAATAATAATAGATCTGATTTGTTCATCACCCTGTCACAGCTTACACTGGGCTCTGAGTGATGTACAAGGGGGGTAATGCCATAAAACAGAAACACAAATTTTAAAATTTCCATATTCAGTTGATAAGAACTAAAACCAGAGTAAAAGGATCCACGGTGGCGACTTTCGAATTTCTATTCCAGTTCAGGACTGCCCGGCCATTTTAGTGGGAAGGGGGAGAGGAGACTTAAAACGAAATATGCAGGGGGGAGAGGAGTAGGGTGCCAGCCGATGCAACCAACCGTTGCCGCCCGCAACGGAAAGCCTGAGAGAGTCCTGCTCCTTTGAAGAGGGTCTTGTGTCCAATTCCTTCGACCTTCCCAGAGAACAGATTCTGGGGGTGGTGGGAGTGAATGTGGGTGCATCGGGGTTTGTCCCCCCCCGCCCCATTCTGACACTGTTGTCTCTCCACAGTTTCGCCACAAGAGTGACAACCAGGTGAACAATCGCCAGTCTCAAGTGTTGATCAATGGGATGTGAGTGTCTCTTCAACAACGGTGGATCGTGGCCATGGGAAGGGGAAGAAAGATGGGAACTGGGGTTGGGGGGGGGGATAATGGACTCGCTTAGAGGGTTGTCCTCGAATTGTCAAAGGGTATGTTTGTAGGGAGATAAACCTCCGAATACCAGCACCAGGAGGCAAGATCAGGGGAAGGCCTCTGCCTCTGTGCCCTGTTGGTGGCCCTCCAGAGGAACTGGCTGAGGCCACTGTGTGAGACGGGATGCTGGACTAGAGGGACCCTCACTGGTCTGATCCCAGCAGGGCTCTTCAGATGTTCTTATGAGGGGAAGGCCTTGGCCTCTCTGCCCTGCTGTTGGCCCTCCAGAGGAACTGGCTGAGGCCACTGTGTGAGACGGGATGCTGGACTAGAGGGACCCTCACTGGTCTGATCCCAGCAGGGCTCTTCAGATGTTCTTATGAGGGGAAGGCCTTGGCCTCTCTGCCCTGCTGTTGGCCCTCCAGAGGAACTGGCTGAGGCCACTGTGTGAGACGGGATGCTGGACTAGAGGGACCCTCACTGGTCTGATCCCAGCAGGGCTCTTCAGATGTTCTTATGAGGGGAAGGCCTTGGCCTCTCTGCCCTGCTGTTGGCCCTCCAGAGGAACTGGCTGAGGCCACTGTGTGAGACGGGATGCTGGACTAGAGGGACCCTCACTGGTCTGATCCCAGCAGGGCTCTTCAGATGTTCTTATGAGGGGAAGGCCTTGGCCTCTCTGCCCTGCTGTTGGCCCTCCAGAGGAGCTGGTGGAGGCCACTGTGAGAGACAGGATGCTGGACAGGATGGCCCACTGGTCTGATCCCGCCTGGTTCTTATGATCTTATGAGGACCCAAATAGCTTGTGCTTTGGGGAAAACATTTGGGGCCTCCTTAATTAGTTACGCTTTTATTCCGCCCTTCCTCTGCAGAGCTCAACACAGTGCATATATTATTCTCACAACAACCCTGCGAGGTAGTTTCACCTGAGAGAGGTTGATTGGCCCAGGGTCACCCAAGTGATGTTTATCACTGAGTGGGGATCTGAAACAGTTTCCTCAGTCCTATTTGGACACTCTAACCATTACACCACACTCCTCCAGTGCCTGAGGGACTCCTCCCACATATCTGGCATCCCCTTACGCCTCTGCTTGTCTGCGTCTGTAATAATTGCTAACACGCGTTTTGAGTCTTCGCAGCCCTTTGCTCATACCAGTCACTACCACAGTCCTGAAAGGTAGTCCAGCGCTACAGTTCCTATTCTGAAGTTGAGGCCTGGCTTGGCCCGTGTTATCTACATAACCAGAGTCCCACGGCGTCAGACCAAGAAGGCCATACTGCATTCTGATATCGAAGGCTCTCAAGCAGACACCTCAGGGCAGTAGCTTTCCCCCAGCTTCTACTATTTGGAGACAGACTGCCTCTGAAGCTGGAGTCTCCGTTTAGCTCTTAAGGTGAATAGCTGCTGATCGGTCTCTTCGCCAGGAAGCCATGTGGCATAAGTGAGATTTGAACCCAGGACTTTTTGCTTCAAAGCAGAAAGTTTTGAATTACACAACGCCGGCTCTTGGGTTAAGAGAGAGAGAAAGAAGTGAGGGAGGGGCTTTCTAACCACCGGATATCTTCCCTCACCCGATACTGGGTGTTCCTTACCCCTCAGTTTGGTGTAGGACAGCCAGTTTGGTGTAGTGGTTAGGAATGTGGAAAACCAGGTTTGATTCCCAACTCCTCCACATGCATCTGCTGGAGTGACCTTGGGTCAGTCACAAGTTCTCTCAGGAGTAGTCCTCTCAGGAGCAGTCCTTGAAAGAGCTCTCTCCGCCCCACCTATCTCACAGAGTGTCTGTTGTGGGGAGGGGAAGGGAAAGGAGTTTGTAAGCCGCTCTGAGACGCCTTCGAGCAGTGAATGGCGGGGGTATAAATCCAATCTCTTCCTCTTCCTCTCACCCTCTGTTTCGATTTTCCGCAGCCTCCAGCAGGAGCAGTGGATGAACGTTCGCGTCGGTGACATCATCAAGTTGGAGAACAACCAGTTTGTGGCAGTGAGTCTTGTGCTGGGTAGGGGGAGCAGGATTAAGGAGGACGGTTTGAGGGTTGGATCTAGATATGATGATGCTAAGAATAATAATTCTTATTCTTATCATATGGCACTGTGCGTAGAATAGCCAGGAGATCCTAAGATTGTCTGGCAGCCAGACATTCTAGCTCTTTTAGCGTTATGCGCCCCTAGGCGGCGAGCTAGACTTGTTGTTGAGGCAAGAGACATTTCAGAGGTGGTTTGCCATTGCCTGCCTCTGCGTTACGACCCTGGTATTCCTTGGAGATCTCCCATCCAAATACTAGCCAAGGCCGGCCCTGCTTAGCTTCCAAGATCTGACAGGATCGGGCTGGCCTGGGCTCTCCGGGTCAGGGCGAGACGGTGCTGGAGGAGGAGTATGCCCAGTGCAACCCCTGTGCTCCCCCGCATGAATCAGGTACACAATCTTGGGGGAAGTTTTCCCGCACCAACGTCACAGAAAAGAACGCACAGAACGTCTGCAGCTGTCAGACCATTGGGACACGATGACCCGCTATCCTGTGCTGTGGCTGGCAGTGGGTCCTCACGGGCTCGTGCGCAGGGGGCCTGCCAATCCACCTACCCAAAATCTTTCAACAGGAGATCTTCTGGGCGTGGAGCAGTGGTCACTGGGTGCATGTGTGGGAGTGAGGTATTTGTGAATTTCCTTGACCTATCTTGTAATGTGTGCTGCTAATTTGTTGATAACCTTGAAAATGGCAAACATCCTGTAGGAGGGGAAAAAACAACAACAACGGACCCATAGTATGACATGAAAATAAAGACTTGTTGCTGACCCTGGCAGAAGAGGAGGCTTGGCATGGTTCCTAGAGAGCAACCTAAACGTAACAATCCAGGGTTGTGTATCCGTGTGGCGGGAGGGCCATAGATCTGTGGCAGAGCACAAGCTGTGCATGCGCAGGATCCCAACGTCTCGGAGAGCCGCCAGCAGTCCAAGTACATGGGGCTCTCTACATGGGGCTGCCTCTGTCGCAAATCCGGAGGCTGCAACTGGTGCAGAATGCTGCGGCCAGGCTGTTAATGGGTCTCTCTAGAAGGGACCATATTCAGCCTGTGCTGAAAGCGCTGCACTGGTTGCCAATAGCGTACCGGATTCGCTTCAAAGTGCTGGTTCTTACCTATAAAGCCCTATATGGTCTGGGTCCAGCCTACCTGAGGGACCGCCTTTCCCCGTATGTTCCCCCAAGAGCGCTACGGTCTGGGGCCCAAAATCTTCTAACTGTGCCGGGCCCCAAAGATGCTAAATTGGCCGTCACGAGGGCTAGGGCTTTCTCGGTGGAACGAGCTCCCGGAGGAGATCCGGGCCCTGCGGGACCTGATGCAGTTCCGCAGGGCCTGCAAGACAAAGCTCTTCCACCAGGCCTTCGACTAGGGGCCGCCGCCCCCCCCCGGCTACACTACCATCATTGGGGGGGGGGCCCTAGGAGGGCAGGAAGAAACATCTGTTTAACATCTATTATGGAATGCCTACCGGGGATGTCTGGTTGTGGATGTGGTTGTCCTCTCTGAGATTCCGGAATGGATGAATTGTAGTTCGAGCACTTTAATGTTTGAGAGGGTTTTAAACTGTATACTATATTTTAAATGTTACTAAATTATTTGATGTTTTTATCAGCAAGATTCCTTGCCATGTAAGCCGCCCTGAGCCCTACGGGGGAGGGCGGGATATAAATTTAATAATAAATAAATAAAATAAAATAAAAAAAAATAAATTAGACACCGGGTAGTAATTGAGCAAATAATTCTTATCTAGAGATGCTTTTTAAAAAAGTAATGAATGGATGGCTGCCTGTTTTAAAGGTCAAAGAAAGATGCCCTGAGTCAGTGACTGATTTACACTGGACAACAGAGATTCATTGATGATTTACATGATTTCAGTAGCAAGGACACTTAAGGATCCAGAGTACAATCGGCTTGCATATATCTCAGAATCCTGTTGGCATCTATCAGAGTTATCAAATCAAAACGATCCTAAAAGAAGCAGGATAGTATACCAGGCGTTTGTGGTGTCTTAGCTGTATTACAACCCACATCCCAATCAGAACATATTTGGAAGACCTTTTCAGCAGCAAACTTGCAAATTCTGTTCCTGTGTAGTGGTTAAGTGTGCGGACTCTAATCTGGAAGAACGGGGTTTGTTTCCCCACTCCTCTACATGCAGCTGCTGGATGACCTTGGGCAAGCCATAGTTCTGGCAGCTGTCCTTGAAAGGGCAGTCCTTGAAAGAACTCTCTCAGCCTCGCCTACCTCACAGGGTGTCTGTTGTGGGGAAGGGACTGGAAAGGAGACTGTAAGCCAGTTTGGTGTAGTGGTTAAGTGTGCAGACTCTAATCTGAGAGAACCGGGTATGATTCCCCACTCCTCCACTTGCAGCTGTTGGATGACCTTGGGCAAGCCATAGTTCTCTCAGAGCAGTCCTCGAAAGAGCTCTCTCAACCCCGCCTACCTCCCAGGGTGTCTGTTGTGGGGAGGGGGAGGGAAAGGAGTTTGTAAGCCGCTCTGAGACTCCGAGTGAAGGGCGGGATATAAATCCAATCGCTTCTCCTCTTCTTCTTTCTCTAGGCTGACCTGCTCCTCCTGTCCAGCAGTGAACCTCACGGCCTTTGTTATATCGAGACTGCTGAGCTAGACGGGTGAGTAACAGCCGGTCCCACAGGCCCAGCTGTTGGCAGCTGGGGAGGATTCCATCGTGCCGCTGCGTTGTGCCCGGGGAGCCATTGGGAACCGGGATATTGAGTCAGCGTCGTGCATTGAGATGGATTCGTTATTAGACTCTGGGCAGGGGCTCAAACCAGCCCTCTCTGAGAGAGTTCCTCGGCCAGCTGGAACGATCTTGTTGGCCGCCACCGCCATTTCGGCTGTATCGTTCTATCGCTCCGTATGAATTAACTGTACTCCCATCTTGTTCTAATTGCTTGTTTTGGTCCGCTGAGAGTTGCATGATGGATTCCCCAGGGCGGAATGGCAGGATGTGGAGCTTTTAAATAGATCCGTAGTCTGATCGGGGCCCGCATATCTGTGTGTCTTTTGGCATAGTGGTTAGGAGCACAGACTCCAAGCTGGGAGAACCAGGTTTGATTCCCCTCCACATGCTGCTGCCAGTGTGACCTTGGGTCAGTCACAAGTTCTCTCAGAGCTGTTGTCTCAGGAGCAGTCCTCGAGGAGAGTTCTCTCAGCCCCGCCTACTTCACAGGGTGTCTATTGTGGGGAGGGGAAGGGAAAGGCGATTGTCAGCCGCTCTGAGACTTCTTCGGGTAGCGAAGGGCAGGATATAAATCCAATCTCCTCCTTCTGGCTCCTCAGTTCATCCTCACAACAGTCCTGTGAGGAAGGTCAGGCTGGGAGAGAATAACTGGCTCAAGGTCACCCACTGAGTTTCACAGCGGGGGGGGGGGGATTTGAATCCAGATACAGCACTCTTACCCAGTGCGCCAGACTGGACTGGCTGCTTTCTTGGTCATCTGTCGATAATCCCATGTTTGGATGATCTGTTAATTGGAGAACATGGCTGTTCGCTGTGGAGCCTCCATGTTTCGAAGCAGTCTACCTCTGAGTGCTGGGGAGACACCGCAGGGGAGGGCTGTTACCGTCCCGCCTTCCCTTGTGGGCTTCCTCTAGGCCTCTATCTGACCGTTCTTGGAAACCGGAGACTGGATTCAATGGACCCCTTTTGGTCTCCTCCAGCAGAGCTCCTGCCCTTACTGTGTGTTCCAGAGCATGCTTTGGAGCAGGGTGGTTGATTCTAGCGTGCCCGGGTAGGACCATAGAACCCCGGCTCGTGTCCTGGCACCTCGTTGCTCTTCATTCCCTCTTCACCTAGTTTGGTGTAGCGGTTAGGAGCACGGACTCTAATCTGGGAGAACCGGGTTTGATTCCCCACTCCTCCACATGCAGCTGCTGGTGTGACCTTGGGTCAGTCACAAGTTCTCTCAGAGCTGTTCTCTCAAGGCCAGTCCTCGGAAGAACGCTCTCAGCCCCACCTACCTCACAGGGAAGGGGAAGGAGATGGTAAGCTGCTCTGAGGCTCCTTCGGTTAGTGAAGGGGCAGGGTATAAATCCCAACCTCTCCTTGTTCTGTTTCCAGAGAAACCAACATGAAGGTGAGGCAGGCCATCCCCCTGACGTCGGAGCTGAGCGACACCAGCAAACTGGCGCACTTTGATGGTGAGTTGGGGGCCGTGGGGGAGGCAGGCAGGTTGGGCTGAGAGAGTGTGCCTGGTCCCAGCTCCCCTGCAAGACTTGTGGTTGAACAGGGATTCCAACCCTGGTTTTCCAGGCGGCCTGATGCTCTAGGCCAGGGGTGTCGAACTCATTTGTTATGAGGGCCAGATCGGACATAAATGAGACCTTGTCGGGCCGGGCCGCGTGGGTCATAAAATGTAACGCCAGGGAGCGGAGATATAAACTTCATAAAGGACACAAACACAAAGGGTGGGTTTTTTAAAAAACTTGAAACAAAAACACGCTTAAAGCATTTAGCACTCTTGCAATATTTTGTTTATTTAACGGCGTCTGATAACTGACGTCTCTTGCTCTGAATTATTGCATCGAAATGTCTGTGCTGTTGCAGTCTCGAGTATGCTGTTCAGGTGTGTACCTGTGAGCTGCAAACCTACTTTTGATTTATTGACATTCGCCACAGAAATCTCATGCTCAGAGTTCTGAGTCTAGGACCCAGGTTGAAACATGAAATGACTGAGTGATTAAGAGAGTCTGGCGAAGCAAGCCATGATGCAGCAGCAGCAGACCTGGAAGCAGGAGATGGCCAGTTCCACTGCGAGCCTGATGGAAGCCTTCTGGGGGCCTGATCCGGCCCCCAGGCCACATGTTTCACACCCCTGCTCTAACCACTGTACCACCATGGCTGAGCCAGATATTCTGACGTGTGCCTGTGAAGTCCCATCAAGGCGCTTCCAGCTTATGGTGATCCCAGCAATCCACTTCCTCCACAATGTCCTGTTGTTCACAGCCTTGCTCATGGCTTGGACCGAATTAGACCCTTGGTGAGAGCCAGTTTGGTGTAGTGGTTAAGTGTGCGGACTCTAATCTGGGAGAACCAGGTTTGATTCCCCACTCCTCCACTTGCACCTGCTGATGTGACCTTGGGTCAGCCACAAGCTCTGGCACAGCTGTTCCTGAAAGAGCAGTTTGTGTCAGAGTTCTCTCAGCCCCACCCACCTCACAGGGTGTCTGTTGTGGGGAGGGGAAGGGAAAGGAGTTTGTAAGCCGCTCTGAGACTCCAAGTGAAGGGCGGGGTATAAATCCAATCTCTTCTTCTTCTTCTTCTTCTTGGTCCGTTAAAGTCAGTCTTGTCTACTCAGACCAGCAGCAGTTCAACCCCCGGCATCTCCAGTTAAGAGGACCAGGTGGTAGGCGATGTGAAAGACCCTCCGCCTGAGACCCTGGAGAGCCGCTGCCAGTCTGAGTAGACGATCATCGCAGGGCTCTTTTTATAGCAGGAGCTCCTTTGCGTATTAGGCCACACCCCCTAGTGTAGCCAATCCTCCAAGAGCTTACAGAGCTCTTCTTACAGGGGCTACTGTAAGCTCTTGGAGGATTGGCTACATCAGGGGTGTGTGGCCTAATATGCAAAGGAGCTCCTGCTACAAAAAGAGCCCTGCGTGACGTACAAATGGCCTGATTCAGTATAAGGTAGTTTCATGAAGGCTGCGGCTTCCCTTATTGAGTCACTCCGTCTCCTTTTGGAACTTACTGCCTCCAACTTTCTCTGGCACGATTGTGTTTTTCCAGTGCGTCTTGTCTTATCATGGGACCAAACTTACAATAGTCTGACATGACCTCCGCTAACTCCCCGTTCACTCGCTGGGGGGAAGGCACCACATGCAGACAGTGACCCCTAATTCCCTTTGTAGGTCACCTGACCTCAGTGTAGCCTGTCTCCCAGGTTGGGTATTCGGGCTAATGGCCGCCGTCTTCTATGCTCTTTGCCTGCAGGAGAGGTGATCTGCGAGCCCCCCAACAATAAACTGGACAAGTTCAGCGGGACCCTGTACTGGAAGGAGAGCAAGCACCCGCTCAGCAACCAGAACATGCTTCTGCGCGGCTGCGTCCTTCGCAATACGGAGTGGTGTTTCGGGCTGGTCATCTTTGCAGGTGCGCGGGGTCATGATACACAGAGGTGGGCACATCTCTACATAGGAGAAGCCATGTAGGGTCGGGCCAGTGGCCCATACAGTCCAGCACTCTGTGTCACACAGTGGCCAAAACCCAGCGGCCGTCAGGAGGTCCACCAGCGGGGCCAGAACTTCAGAAACGCTCCCACTCTTGCCCCCCCCCCAAGCACCAAGAACATAAGAGAAGCCGTGTTGGATCAGGCCAGCGGCCCATCCAGTCCAACGCTCTGTGTCACACAGTGGCCAAAACCCCAGGTGCCACCAGGAGGTCCACCAGCAGAGCCAGAACTCCAGAAGCCCTCCCACTCTTGCCCCCCCCCAAGCACCAAGAACATAAGAGAAGCCATGTTGGATCAGGCCAGTGGCCCATCCAGTCCAACGCTCTGTGTCACACAGTGGCCAAAACCCCAGGTGCCACCAGGAGGTCCACCAGCGGAGCCAGAACTCCAGAAGCCCTCCCACTCTTGCCCCCCCCCCAAGCACCAAGAACATAAGAGAAGCCGTGTTGGATCAGGCCAATGGTCCATCCAGTCCAACACTCTGTGTCACACAGTGGCCAAAACCCAAGGTCCACCAGGAGGTCCACTAGCGGAGCCAGAACTCCAGAAGCCCTCCCACTCTTGCCCCCCCCCAAGCACCAAGAAGACAGAGCATCCCTGCCCCAGACAGAGTGTTCCATCTAGACCTTGTGGCTAAGAGCTACTGAGGGACCACTGCTCCATGTTTATTCAATCCCCTCTTGATTTGGTGCAGTGGTTAAGAGTGGCAGACTCTAACCCAGAGAACTGTGTTGGTGTCAACATGGCAAATGGGGTTCAATGTGGCCAAGTGCAAGGTGATGCACATTGGAGCCAAAAATCCTAAATATAAATACACATTGATGGGGTCTGAACTGGCAGAGACTGAGCAAGAGAGAGATCTTGGAGTTGTAGTGGATAACTCACTGAAAATGTCGAGACAGTGTGTGACTGCAATAAAGAAGGCCAATGCTATGCTGGGGATTATTAGGAAGGGTATTGAAAACAGATCAGCCAATATAATAATGCCCCTATATAAATCAATGGTGAGACCTCATTTGGAATACTGTGTGCAATTCTGGTCACCACACCTTAAAAAGGATATTATAGCTTTGGAAAAAGTGCAGAAAAGGGCAACTCGAATGATAAAAGGGTTGGAACACTTTCCCTATGAGGAAAGGTTAAAGCGCTTAGGGCTCTTTAGCTTGGAGAAAAGACGACTGAGGGGTAACATGATCAAGGTTTATAAGATTATGCATGGGAAAGAGCAGGTAGAGAAAGAGGTACTTTTCTCCCTTTCTCACAATACAAGAACTCGTGGGCACTCCATGAAACTGCAGAGCGGTCGGGTTAGAACGGATAAAAGGAAGTCCTTCTTCACCCAAAGAGTGATTGACACATGGAATTCACTGCCACAGGAAGTGGTGGCGGCTACAAGCATGGACGGCTTCAAAAGGGAATTAGATAAGCATATGGAGCAGAGGTCCATCAGTGGATATTAGCCACAAGGTATAGATAGGGGCTCTGGGGCAAGTGATGCTGTGTCTTCTTGGTGCTTGGGGGGGTCAACAGTGGGAGGGCTTCTAATGTCCGGCCCCACTGCTGGACCTCCTGATGGCACTGGTATTTCTGGCCACTGTGTGACACAGAGTGTTGGACTGGATGGGCCTTTGGCCTGATCCAACATTGGCGTCTCTTATGTTCTTATGATTCCCCATTCCTCCACATGAAGCCGGCTGGGCGAACTTGAGTCAGTCACAGTTCTCTCAGAGCTGTTCTCTCAAGAGCAGTCTCTCAGAGCTCTCTCAGCCCCACCTGCCTCGCGGGGTGTCTGTTGTGGGGAGAGGAAAGGAACGAGATTGTAAGCCGCTCTGAGACTCCAAGGGAAGGGCGGGGTATAAATCCAACGCTGCTTCTTCTTTTTCTCCTTCTCCTCCTCCTTCCTGCTTGTAGCCACCACCACTTCCTGCAGCAGTGAATTCCGTGTGTTAATGACTCTTTGGGTGAAGAGGGAGTTCCTTTAATCTCTTCTGAGCCTACTGGTCGTTAATTTCATTGAGTGCCCACAAGTCCTTGTATTGTGAGAGAGGGAGAAAAGTATTTTTTTCTCTACTTTCTCTATCCCAATAATCTTGTGAGCCTCTGTCATGTCAACCCTCATTGTTTCTGCATGCTAAAGGGCACTAACCTCTTTAACCTGTCTTCATAGGGAAAGGTGTTCCATCCCCTTAGTCATTTCAGTTGCCCTTTTCTCTGCCTCTTCCAATTATTCCAATCTTGAAAAAGAGCCGTTTCTGTCAAGAGCTCTCTCAGCCCCACCTGCCTCACAGGGTGTCTGTTGTGGGGAAGGGAAGGGAAAGGAGTTTGTAAGCCGCTCTGAGACTCCCTCAGGTAGTGAAGGGCAGAGTATAAATCCAATCTCTTCTCTTCTTCTTTTACCTCACAGGGTGTCTGTTGTGGGGAGGGGAAGGGAAAGGAGTTTGTAAGCTGCTCTGAGACACCTTTGGGTAGTGAAGGGCGGGGTATAAATCCAATCTCTTCTTCTTCTTTTACCTCACAGGGTGTCTGTTGTGGGGAAGGGAAGGGAAAGGAGTTTGTAAGCCGCTCTGAGACTCCTTTGGGTAGTGAAAGGCAGGGTATAAATCCAATCTCCTCCTCCTCCTCCTTTTTTGAGGTGTGGTGACCAGAATTGGACACCGTACTCCAAATGTGGCCGCACCACAGATTTAGACAGGGGCATTATGATACTGGCTGATTTGTTTCCAATCACCAGCTGCCCGGAAGTCACATCTGGAGTCCTGCTCTCTCTTTCTCGGCTCGTCCAAAGGGGATTGGGCACGGATGCACCTGATTCTTTACTGCGCAAAGAAAAACATGCTGCAGAGTCCGGGGTTTGAACCTTGCCTCACCCATGAATTCACTAGCTGGCTGGAGGGAAGCCCCTCTCAGCCGCACCCCTTGCAAGGCAGGACTTACAACACTGTCCTGCCTTACAGGGCTGGTGTAGGGATTATGTATGTAGGTGCCATCAAGTCGCAGCTGACCTATGGCAACCCCAGCAAGTGAGAGGCAGGGGTGGTCTGCCATGGCCTTTCTCTGCAGAGCCGTCCTTGGTGGTCTCCCATCCAAGTACTGACCCTGATTAGCTTCTGAGATTGACAAGATCTGTCTGTATGTAAGTGTTTTCAACTTATGGCAACCCCAGCAAGAGGCTTCCAAGGCAAATGAGAAGCAGAGGGGGTTTGCCTTTGCCTTCCTCTGCAGAGCCGTCCTTGGTTGTCTCCCATCCAAGTACCGACTCTGATTAGCTTCTGAGATTTAACAAGAGATTTAACAAGATCCGAAACCCTAACCGAGTGTACTCAAGCGAGGCAGGCTTGGAGAAAAGACGACTGAGGGGTGACATGATTGAGGTTCACAAGATTATGCATGGGAAAGAGCAGGTTGAGAAAGAGGTACTTTTCTCCCTTTCTCACAATACAAGAACTCGTGGGCACTCCATGAAATTGCTGAGCGGTCGGGTTAGAACGGATAAAAGGAAGTACTTCTTCACCCAAAGAGTGATTCACACATGGAATTCACTGCCACAGGAGGTGGTGGCGGCTACAAGCATGGACAACTTCAAAAGGGAATTAGATAAGCATATGGAGCAGAGGTCCATCAGTGGCTATTAGCCACAAGGTATAGATAGGGACTCTGGGGCAAGTGATGCTCTGTCATCTTGGTGCTTGGGGGGGGTCAACAGTGGGAGGGCTTCTAATGTCCTGGCCCCACTGGTGGACCTCCTGATGGCACCTGGTATTTTTGGCCACTGTGTGACAGAGTGTTGGACTAGATGGGCCTTTGGCCTGATCTAACATTGGCGTCTCTTATGTTCTTATATAAGTGCTGTCAGCTTATGGCAACCCCAGCAAGAGGCTTCCAAGGCAAGTGAGAAGCAGAGGTGGTTTGCCATGGCCTTCCTCTGCAGAGCCATCCTTGGTGGTCTCCCATCCAAGTACCGACCCTGATTAGCTTCTGAGATCTGACACGATCTGTCTGTATATAAGTGCTGTCGATTTATGGCAGCCCCAGCAAGGGGCTTCCAAGGCAAGCGAGAAGCAGAGGTGGTTTGCCAATGCCTTCCTCTGCAGAGTCGTCCCTGGTGGTCTCCCTTCCAAGTACCAACACTACTTAGCTTCCAGCATAGACAGGGAATGGGATACTGCTCTCCGTGGTCCTTTGGGTCTGATCTGGCACAGTCTGTGTGTATTTTCTGCTGTTCTTAGATCCTGGGCTGGAGCCCCACTGGAAAAACTTCCATCACCCTACTCACATTTCCACCCTCCTCCTTCCAGGTCCGGACACCAAACTGATGCAGAACAGCGGGCGCACGAAATTCAAGAGGACTAGTATTGATCGTTTAATGAACACCCTGGTGCTTTGGGTAGGTGAGCTCCCTCCTTTCTCCAAGTGTCCTGTGTCCCGTCCCCCCCCCCCCATCGCCGCAGTTCCTATACTTAGCAAAGCAGAACACAGCATTGTTCTGGCGCAAGAACGTACCTTGCCAGTTCTGAAGGAACTGCAGTCCAGAGCGCTGGTGCTCCCCTTTCAAGTCCCAAATTAATCGGGGCTCTGCCTTCCTCTTGGAACCTGTCCAGATGTTGAGATCAGCATCCGAAACCCTAACCGAGTGTACTCAAGCGAGGCAGGCTGACACGAGGGACTAGGCCTGCTCTGTGGTGGCCCCCTTGCTTGTTTGCGGAACTCCCTGCTGTCGTGCTCATGACGCCTTCCGAATTCAGCTGCCCGGGGAAAACTTTAAAAAAAATATTTTTTTTTTGCCATCTCCTAAGAGTTAGTTTGTGTTTTTTTCCTTGTTTCAGCGATTTTTTTTTCCCTTAATGTTTTTGGTACACTGCTGATAAAGAGGTTTTATAGCTCTCTTTGGCTGTTTTTCATTGCATTTAACGGCTGATTTCATGGATGCCCAAGGGTTTTGTTTGCTGCTGAGCTGTTGGATTGTTTCATAACTCCCCCCCCCCAACTGCTGTTTTACTGTCTCATTCTCTTAAGTCGCTTTGCTGCCAGTTCTGTTGGCCTTACGGCTTTTCTGTCGATTGGAACCTTTTTTTAAAAAAAAACAAAACCCCTACAGTTTCATCTCTTTTCTTCCTCTCGAGAATGACAAAGTTAGGAACCGAAACGGCCTTCATTGTATCTAGACGTACTGCACGGGTCTCCAACACGATGCCCGTGGGCGCCAGGGTAACCGCTGACACTTTTTCTGGTGCCCACCAAATGTTTTTAGGAAGTGGGCAGGTCCAGGTAGGGCTTTTGCCCAGCTAGGCTTCTCATTGGCTATTGGAGACTTGATTCGCTGGGCAAGTTTTTTAAAACGTTGCTTTGGCAGCAGCTGCCTCCGCAGCGCAAGGATCTTCACTGTGTGACTGAAGCGAAGCCGTGGCAGCCATTTTGTGTCTGGCTTCTCCTCCTGCGGCAGCCATCTTGTTGCTGCACCCACCAGCAGCACCCACCCTGCTGTTTCAGAACTGCAAATGTGTCCGCTGGCTCAAATAGGTTGGGGACCCCTGACGTACTGTGTTGCTTTACAGCGGGGGTCTGTGCCCTTTTACCATTAAAGAGGCAAACTGTGTCCAAAAAATCTGAGCAAGAGATCAACAGACGAGCCGCTCTAAGAAAGCCGTTTTGTGTAACTGAAAGATGGGTAGCCGTGTTAGTCTGTCTGTAGCAGTAGAAAAGAGCAAAAGTCCAGCAGCACCTTAAAGACTTAACAAAATTTGTGGCAGGATAGGAGTTTTTGTCAGTCATGGCTCACTTCTTCAGATAGATCAGGACGGGTAGCTGTGTCAGTCTGTCTGTAGCGGTAGAAAAGAGCAAGAGTCCAGTAGTACCTTAAAGACTAACAAAATTTGTGGCAGGGTAGGAGTTTTTGTCAGTCATGGCTCACTTCTTCAGATAGATCAGGACGGGTAGCTGTGTCAGTCTGTCTGTAGCAGTAGAAAAGAGCAAGAGTCCAGCAGTACCTTAAAGACTAGCAAAATTTGTGGCAGGATAGGAGTTTTTGTCAGTCACGGCTCACTTCTTCAGATAGATCAGGACGGGTAACTGTGTTAGTCTGTCTGTAGCAGTAGAAAAGAGCAAGAGTCCAGCAGCCCCTTAAAGACTAACAAAGTTTGTGGCAGGTTAGGAGTTTTTGTCAGTCATGGCTCACTTCTTCAGATAGATCACGACGGGTTAGCCCTGTTTGTAGCCGTAGAAAAGAGCAAGAGTCCAGTAGTACCTTAAAGACTAACAAAATCTGTGGCGCGGGAGATGAGTTTTTGTGAGTCACTGCTCCCTTTTTCAGATATCTGATATCTTCTGTAACAATAGAGCAAAAGTCCAGTAGCACCTTAGAGACTAGCAAAATAGGTGGCAGGGTGTGAACTTTCATGAGCCTCTTCTCACTTCTTCTGATACCACTTCAGATACTCACTTCTTCAGAGTCCCTGCTCACTTCTTCAGATGCTCACGAAAGCTCCTCCCCTGCCACAAATTTTGTTAGTTTTTAAGGTGCTACTCTTGCTTTTTCCTACTGAAAATGTCCAGGTTTCCAGTACTGATAATTGACATTTTCTGAGGGCAGCAAGATACAAGGCCAGGAGCACCTTGGAAACCAACAAGATTTTTTGGGGGTTCCAGTCTTTCCAGATTGCAAAGCTCCTTTTGTCAGATACAAAAGCTGTCCCACAAGATGGGGGCCACCACAGAGAAGACACGGCCACGGGCACGGGTTGATTTGGCCCGTTTGTCAGTTGGGGGCCTGCAGAAGGCCCTTTTCTGATGAACGATAGCCAGAGGGCAGCACATTCCTCTGAATCTGATCCTTTCCCCGTTCTCTCCTGCTCTTCTTTTTCGCTGCTCCCCCCCACAAACACGCGTGGGCAGATCTTCGGCTTCCTGGTGTGCATGGGCGTGATCCTGGCCATCGGCAACTCCATCTGGGAGTACGAGGTGGGCGCCTGCTTCCAGATCTACCTGCCCTGGGACGAGGCGGTCGACAGTGCCTTCTTCTCTGGCTTCCTCTCCTTCTGGTCGTACATCATCATCCTCAACACCGTGGTCCCCATCTCGCTTTACGTCAGGTACGGGTTTCAGTTTCGGAGGGGAGGGGGATTTCACCGCCTGTCCCTTCTCCGTGCAGGAAGATGGGGGCGGCACGATGTAATGCCATTATTTAGCCCCAGTCTAGTGCTTTGGAACATTCCAAGTGCTTTGCCTACATTACCTCCGTCATCTTCACAGCAAGTTTGCAAGGCAGGCCAGTTTTATTATTGCAGATGCAACGGCGGAGCCCAAATTGCTGGTCTACGGCCACCTAATGTGCCTGGGGCAGGGGTGAGATTGGAACGGGGGGAGGGTGGGGTGCTTTCGGCCTCACAATCGCCCGGCCCCGACCTGTTGGAACTCTGCCAAATACCGTCAGGGCCCTGCGGGATCTTATGCAATTCCGCAGGGCCTGTGAGGCGGAGATGTTCCGCCAGGCGTTTGGTCGAGGACAGCGACGGTTGACATTATGGGCGGCACCCTACCTAGGTCCCTTTTCCTTGTGGGGTTTACTCCCTCTCCGTGTTTCCGAAGCACTCACGGACCAGATATGGGAGGGAACTGCAACAATTTTCGCCATATGCTTCTAATTATTGTATAATATGCTGGATATGGTTTTATGTTTTTACAGTTTTAAAATCAGTACATCGCCTAGAGCCCCACAATTGTGGGGGATTAGGCGATTAATAAATGCAGTGTAATAAATAAATAAATAAATTTTAAGCCATTGTGGTCCAGTAACCAGCACAGGCAAGATTTCCATTGGGGCTTCCCGCTTCAGTAGCTGCTGCACCATGCCAGTATGAGGCCCCTGAGCCTCTGGTTGTAAATATGGCGAGCATTTGGCCCTGAAGTACCCATTTGCTGAACACATTTTTCCGGGGAAACAGTTGGAGGGCTGCGGTGTTTGCAGGAGAGGATTTCTTTTGGGTGGGATGCCTGTGGACATCTCCATGCTGTGTTGTCTCTTCTTGGAAACTGGTGAAATCATTTTCTAACCTGAGGAGATGGGGGTGGCACCATGTAATAACCGTCTTTAGCACCGGTCTTGTGCCTTGGAGTATTCCAAGTGCTTCACCTGCATTATCTTGGTCATCTTCACAGTGGCCTTGTGAAGTGGGCCAGTTTTAGTATCCCCCCACGTTGCAGACACAGGAGCAGAACTTGAATGGCTTGCCAAGGGTATCTGCTATGTCTGGGGCAGAGGTGAGATTGGAACCGGGCTGGGGCTTCCTGACTCACAATGAAGGCTCTTAGCCATAAGGTTCCAGTAGCCACTGCAGGCAAGGTTTGGGCTGGGGCTTCCCAGCTAATTAATTGCTGTACTTTGCCAGTGTTGGGCCTGAGTCCTTAGTTTCAAATACAGTGACCATTTAGATCTGCAATACTCACTTGCTGAATTGCCTTCCCGGTGGGAATTAATAGGAGGCTGTGGTCCTTGCAGGAGTGGATTTCTTTTGGGTGGGGTGCCTGTGCATGGTTCTGTGTTGTGTCGTCTCTTCTCGGAAACCACGGAAATCCTTTTCTAGCCCTTTCCCAAGATCCCCCGCTGTGCTGTCCCCTCTAGAAAATGTCCCTCTCAGCCCCGTAGCCTGTTCCTCCCCCCCCCATCGTTTTTGGTTTCTCCCTTTGCCTTGTTTTGCCTGCCTCCCTCCTCCCCCTGTCTGCCCTTTTCTTTGTATAATTTCTCTTTTTTCTTTTGGCTTCCCCAGCATGAATTTCTCTCTCACTCTTAGCCCCCAGGTAAGAGCATGTCTCCTCCTGCTTCAGACCTCCAACTTTGCCCCCCCCCCCCGGGTATAGGGTGGGAAGGGGGCAGGACTTCCAGCTATAACATCTGGTCGAGGCGAGTCACCTCATTCCCTCTCAATAAATGATTACAGTGTGGAATTTGCTACCAGAGGAGGTAGGGATGGCCACAGGCATTGATGGCTCTAAAAGGGATTAGGCCAGTTCATGGAGTATAGGTCAGTGGCTGCTAGTCATGGCGAAGGAGGGGAACCTCCATGTTCAGAGATAGTCAACCTCTGAATCCTAGTGCTGGGAGGCAACCTCATGAGAAGGTCTTGGCCTCCATACCCTGTTGTTGGCCCTCCAGAGGAACTGGTTGAGGCCACTGTGGGAGAGAGGATCCTGGACTAGGTGGACCCTCATTGGTCTGACCCAGCAGGGCTCTTCTGACATGAGGGGAAGGCCTCAGCCTCTGTGCCCTGTTATTGGCCCTTCCAGAGGAACTGGTTGGTCACTGTGTGAGACTGGATGCTGGACTAAGATGGACCCTCACTGGTCTGACCCAGCAGGGCTTTTCTGATGTTCATATGAGGGGAAGGCCTCGGCCTCTATGCCCTGTTGTTGGCCCTCCAGAGGAACTGGTTGAGGCCACCGTGTGAGACAGGAATGCTGGACTAGATGGACCCTCACTGGTCTGATCCAGCAGGGCTCTTCTGATGTCCTTATCAGGGGAAGGCCTCTGCCTCTGTGCCCTTTTGTTGGCCCTCCAAAGGAGCTGGTTGAGGCCACTGTGTGAGACAGGATGCTGGACTAGATGGACCCTCACTGGTCTGACCCAGCAGGGCTCTTCTCACATGAGGGGAAGGCCTCAGCCTCTGTGCCCTGTTATTGGCCCTTCCAGAGGAACTGGTTGAAGCCACTGTGTGAGACGGGATGCTGGACTAGATGGACCCTCACTGGTCTGACCCAGCAGGGCTCTTCTCACATGAGGGGAAGGCCTCAGCCTCTGTGCCCTGTTATTGGCCCTTCCAGAGGAACTGGTTGAAGCCACTGTGTGAGACAGGATGCTGGACTAGATGGACCCTCAGTGGGTCTGATCCAGCAGGGGTCTTCTGACGTTCTCTCTCCTCCCTCACATGCAGCGGAGGAGCAAAGCCAGTTGATTCCTCCCTCCCTCTCCCTCATAGCAGATCAGTCTCTGAGGCCTTGGGCTAAACAGGGAATCTGAGTAATTGTGGCTTGCGAAGCCGGTCTGTGAAAAAGTGGCACAAACATATTTTAAATAAACGGATGGGAAAGGCTCCATGGACCAAAATCCACTTCTTCTGCTCATGCGGCCTAGTTTTTCTTCTCTAAAATCCCCGCAGACTGTCTCAGCCTGTTAGTTTCACAAAGCAAAGGAGCGTGTTCAAGATCTCTTTAAACCATACGGCAAACGAGGACAGGTCATGGGGAGAGAACCCGCCCGGCACGTAGAAAATCCTTTGGCGTTTCTCATCAGAGGCCGACAGGATCCCGGGTCCCTTTGGGAGAGAGGGCTCCGAGCTTGGCAGGCCAGCGGTCGGACTCTGCACCGGGCAGCTTCACGGCTTCCCAGCTGAGAAGTGGGAGGGTAGCAGACCCACCTGCTCCGACTGTGGTCTGACCCATTCGTATATCAAGCAGAGGGAATGACGTTTCAGTTTGTAGAGACAGAGGTGTGGGGAACTGGTCCCTCCCCATAGCCTCTCCCACAGCCCAGGCCCGTAGCCAGGATTTTGTGGCTTGTGGGGCAAAAAACTTTCTGGTGAGGCTGCCACTATTTGCCATAATGAAAAGAGGGTTGGCACGTGCCCCTCTCCCTCCACTCCTGCAAGTTTTAAAGGGCCCTTCAGCTGATCAGCAGAGAGCATGCAGCCCACCAATCAGCTTGTAAAGGTAAAGGTTCCCTTGCTCGAAAGCCAGTCGAGTCTGACTCTAGGGTTGCGGCGCTCATCTCCGTTTCAAAGCCGAAGAGCCAGCGCTGTCCGAAGACGTTTCTGTGGTCATGTGGCCAGCATGACTAAACACCAAGGCGCACGGAACGCTGTTACCTTCCCACCAAAGTGGTACCTATTTATCTACTTGCAATTTCTTGCTTTCCAACTGCTAGGTTGGCAGGAGCTGGAACTAGAGACGGGAGCTCACTCCATCATGCGGCACACTCGGGTCTCGAACTGCTGAACTACTGACCTTCCACAGTCTGCAGTTCAGCGTCTTAACCACTTGAGCCACCGCAGCTGGAGGGCCCTTTAAATCTTGAGGGAGGGAGGGAGGGAGGGAGGGAGGGAGAGGGGCGTGTACCCCCCCCCCTGCGTCTTCTCAAAAGCATTTAAAGGATCCCTTTAAATGCTTTGGGGAAGAAGCGGGGGGTGGGGGGTTAAGAAGAGGGGGCCCTTGAAGGAAGGGGGCAGAGCTAGCTACGGGCCAGCCACAGCCTCACTTCTGATACCAGAACTTAGCCGGATAGAAAATGCCGGGGTGATGGAGGACAGGATGCAGCTTGAATAAGGGTTTAACCCTCGTGAACTTGCCTTCTACCAAATCAGACCCTTGGCCCGTTAAAGTCAGGAGACTCTTGGGGAGGGCAACCAATTCTGCGATGACGAAGCGAAGACAGAGTTGCATCCATCCCTCTGGAACTAGAGAAGCCAGCGGTAATTTGGATCTCTCTCCAGCATGGATCTAGAGCTCCTTGTAAGGCAGAGAGCGGAAGAAAAGCAAACTGCCTTACTGTAGCCAAGCTGAGTTTAGAAAGTGCATTGGCTCTTTGCTGCTTTGGGACTGCCAGTTGGTCCTAATGCATAATTATGCTTAATAGTTGTAATAGTGCCTAATAAAGATATTGTGCTGTCGTTCTGAGGGTTCCCCCCACCCCCAATGGACCAGCTGCCTGGATTTATAATAACATTCTGCTTCGGGGAGCTGTAATGTGAGGCAAACTGCATGGGTTGCGGCAAGCAAAGAATTAGTCCTGGGTTCTGGGAGGGTCTAGGCTAGAAGCAGGCCGGGACGCCTGGGTTTTGACAAAGAGAACTTTTTCCCCTTCTCCCAAAATGCTAGAGCTTCAGGATGGACAAAAGGAAATACTTCTTTACATGGCGAGTGATTAAAATGTGGGATTCGCTGCCAGAGGATGTAGTGATGGCCACAGGAATAAACAGCTTTAAAGGGGGAGTAGCTGGATTAATGGAGGATAAGTCTATCAGCGGCTACTAGCCACAGTGACTGAGGGGAAACTCCACATTCAGAGACCCTAATCCTCTGAATCCCAGAGCCAGGAGGCAACATCAGGAGAGGCCTCGGCCTCTGTGACATGTTGTTGGAACTGGGTGAGGCCACTGTGTGAGACAGGAAGCTGGAGTAGATGGGCTGTTGGTCTGACCCAGCAGGGCTCTTCTGATGTCCTTATGAGGGAAGGCCTCGGCCTCTCTGCCCTGTTGTTGGCCCTCCAGAGGAACTGGTTGAGGCCACTGTGTGAGGCAGGAGGCTGGACTAGATGGTCCCTCACTGGTCTGACCCATCAGGGCTCTTCTGATGTTCTTATGAGGGAAGGCCTCGGCCTCTCTGCCCTGTTGTTGGCCCTCCAGAGGAACTGGTTGAGGCCACTGTGTGAGGCAGGAGGCTGGTCTAGAGGGACCCTCACTGGTCTGATCCAGCAGGGCTCTTCTGATGTTCTTATGAGGGGAAGGCCTCGGCCTCTCTGCCCTGTTGTTGGCCCTCCAGAGGAACTGGTTGAGGCCACTGTGTGAGGCAGGAGGCTGGACTAGAGGGACCCTCCTGATCCAGCAGGGCTTTTCTTGTATTCTTATCAGGAGAAGGCCATGTCCTCTCTGCCCTGTTGTTGGCCGACTGGAAGAGCTGGTTACCAGTGGTCTCATCCAGCAGGGCACTCTTGGGCAGGCCTTGGGAAGAGCAGGAATTAGAAGTCAATGCTGAAGAAGAAAGCAGAAGCAGGCTAGCTGCTATGCCTGTCTTATAATCTGTCTTTGGAAGGAATAGTTGGGGGGTTCATTGAGTTGCAGGGTAGTAGCATGCCCCCCCCCAAAAAAAAGTGCATGCCAAGATGTGTCCATGGAAGCCAGGTACCAGTGTGCTCCTCTTCCTTAAGATCTCATAATGCAAATCAGTTAACCCTTTCGCCACCCTGTTAGGTTGGCATTCATAATGTTTGAACCATATTTCTGTGCACGGGGGATGTGGAACGTGGTTGTGAAGGGAGCATGGATTGGCATCCATTAGCTGTTTGGGAATATGGGGGTTGGTTTTTGTCCCTGGTTATCTGGAGGGAAAGGCAGCAATCTTGTGGACATCTTATCCATGTCGGCGTTTTTATCAGCCATGACCACTCAGTGCGGCTGCCACAGACCAAGGGAAGGTACCTCTGAGGACCTAGCCCTGAGATGTACCGCAGAAAGACTGGCAGTTTCATGCCCAGCTTGTGGTTGGCAGGTTCTTAGGGCCTGATCCGGCAGGGCAGCCTTTACGCTCTCCTGGATGCCACCTGTGACTTTTTTTGGGGGGGGGGAGAACGCCAAAGCCCCTGGGGCTCTGGTGGACCTTCTGACCTCTCCCCCCTTTTGCGTTCAGTGTGGAGGTGATCCGTCTCGGGCACAGCTACTTCATCAACTGGGACAAGAAGATGTACTGTGCGAAGCGCTGCACGCCGGCCGAGGCACGGACCACCACCCTGAACGAGGAGCTGGGGCAGGTGGAGTACATCTTCTCGGACAAGACGGGGACCCTCACCCAGAACATCATGGTCTTCAGCAAGTGCTCGGTGAACAAGCGGAGCTACGGTAAGCCAGGGGACCTAAGTGGCCTCTGCCAAAGCATCTTTGTTTGCCCAAGGTCCGGTGTGGCAGAGCAGTGCCTGAACGGGAGTGCCGATTAGATACGAATCAGGACATTGGTCCATCTGGCTGAGTGTCGCCTGCTCTGGCTGGCAGCCGCTCAAGCGGAGAAAGGTCTTGAGATCCTTTTAGAAATCAAGATGCTGGGGATTGAACTTGGGACCTTTCGTATGCAAAGCAGAGGCTCTGCCGCTGAGCCACAGCTCCTCTCCATACAAAGCTGCCTTCTGTTGTCCTAGACTGCTGTTCCATCTTGTCTGCTACTGTCTGCTAGAGACTCTTTTAGCTGGAGATTCCAGGGATTGGACCTGGGACCCTTTTTTTGGCCTGCAGAGCATGGGTTCTGCCCCCTCCCCAAGATGTGGCTGAAATGGGTTGCGTACATGTTTCTCCTGTCTTCCATTTTATAATCACAACAACCCCGTGAGGTAGGCCACGGAGTTCAAATCCTCCGTCAGCCATGCAGCTTCTTGGGTGATCTGGGGCCAGTCACCCTCTGTTTCAGGCTCTGGCCAGGAGCTCTGGTTTTTCAGAAATCCCTAGGAAACGATTTGCAAGAGCCAAGTTTGCTTATAAGGAGGCTTTAATATGCAGTGTTCAGGCTTACAGAAATAGCAGGCTGAACGCCCATCAGCTGGGTCTCGAACGCACACGTGCACAGTGAAACTTAGCCAGACCTCAAGACGAGATGCATAGCTAAAACTAAGCATCTTATACCCTAATTTCTGGCTACCAGTCAAGAAATCATTAATCAGTGCTAGGATAAACCAGGTCATCTCACACCTGGCGTCTGGTGGTGAAAGAAATCAGGCTTTGCAGATAACAGTGGTTAACAAGTGTGAGAGAGAATATTTTCTTGGGAGTGACCTGACAGCCATGCCCTCACAGAATTCAAGCACCTGTAACATAGTAATTATCGCTTGGCATTGTGTGTAGAACAGCCAGGAAATCCTAAGATTGGCAGCCAGAAGTTCAAGTTCTTTTAGCAATTTGTACCACTAGGTGGCGAGCTAGACTTGTTTTTAAAGCAAGAGACTTTTCAGAGGTGGTTTGCCATTGGCTGCCTTTGTATCGCAGCCCTGGTATTCCTTGGAGGCGGCCCTTCCAAATACTAGCCAGGGCCGACCCTGCTTAGCTTCTGAGATCTGACGGGATCGGGCTAGCCTGTAACAAAGATGGAGTTATAAAGGCCATACACCCTCTCTCAGTGTAGCCTCAGGGTAGTCACCCTCTCTCTGTGTAGGTTGTTGTGATTATATAAAAGGGAACAGAGGAGAAGTTAGCTTTTAGAGGGAGGCAAGCCGCTCACTCTCAGCCTTTGCCTCATAGTGACCTACCCTACAGGGGTGTTGTCAGGAGCACTGCAAGGTAATGTGTGTGAATTAGTTTGAACTAGCATTAATAATGTTCATAAGGAACATCAGAAGAGCCCTGCTGGACCCGACACGCAGTCCATCTAGTCCAGCATCCTGTCTTACACAGTGGCCTCAACCAGTTCCTCCGGAGGGCCAACAACAGGGCATGGAGGCCAAGGCCTTCCTCTCATAAGAACATCAGAAAAGACCTGCCAGATCAAGCCAGTGGGATCTGATCTAGTCCAGCATCCTGCCTCACACAGGGGCCTCAATCAGTTCCTCTGGAAGGGCCAACGACAGGGCATAGAGGCCGAGGTATTCCCCTCATAAGAACATCAGAAGAGCCCTGCTGGATCAGACCAGTGAGGGTCCATCTAGTCCAGCATCCTGCCTCATTCAGTGGCCTCAACCACTTCCTCTGGAGGGCCAACAACAGGGCAGAGAAGCCAAGGCCCTTCTCTGATGTTGCCTCCTGGCACCAGGATTCAGAGGCTGACTGCGTCTGGATGTGGAGGTTCCCTTTAGTCACCGTGGGTAGTAGCTGCTGATAGACTAGCCTTGCATCTGTCTAATCTCCTTTTAAAGGGATCTGTCTAATCCCCTTTTTAAAATATACGTTAACTCCTTAGTCTTGGCTCACTGTCTGATAACATGTTGGGCCAATCTAATGCATCCCCCCCCCCGCAATCACATGTTGTCAATCTTCATTTTCTGCATCCATAGGTGATGTCTTGGATGTTCTGGGGTACAAAGCAGAGCTTGGAGAGGTAAGAACTTCAGAGTCTTGATGGTTGGGTGGGCAGCAATAGGCTTCATGGAAGAGGGCAGCAGTTACAAACTTTTTTTGGGGGGGGGCAGGGGAGAAGATGCCAATCATTCACCTCCTTGCTCCCCCCCCCCCCCCCGGCATGCTAATTGGTAACCAAAGGAGGCAGCCTCCCATTTCCCCCCTCGCTTGTGTTCCGTCTGTCAAACCTCATGAGGAATATGGAGAGATAATGTTACAAATGTCACGACATCACTTCCTATGTCATCACCCAGAAGTGACGTCACTGTGTCTGCGACACTCTAGGCTTCCCCCCAAATTCATTGGTCTTTACCACAGAGATATTGGTAGAATTCCTAGAGAGTCCCAGACACAGTGATGTCACTTCTGAGCGATAACCTGGAAGTGATGTCACAGTGTTTGTGATTCTCTCCCCCTTGCCAGACTCTGCCCCCAAGAGCTCCCAGCAGTTGCCGTGGCAAGACTTGCACCCCTTCCCCCCATGTGTACACACCTGGTTGCCAACATTCTGCTGCCAGGTTTGGTTATGTATATAACCAGTCTACAAAAGCTAACTAGGAAAGAATGCATACAGATTCCCTGGGGGAGAGAGTTTTCTGCATCTTGGGAGCCACTCTGAAAAAGGCCCTGCTCCTGGTAGATGAGCGCCCCGAGTAGGCCTAACTAGTAGATCTTACAAATCTGGATAGGAAGTGTGACTTGGTGGTTATAATATTGGTCTAAGAGATCAACTATCCATTAGTTTTTCTTCTGTATTTATTTTAAATGCCTTCCCCCCCCTTCCACTTGCCCCCCTCTTCCATTCCCCACGCCTCCACTCGCACCTGGCTGGATGAGCTTGGGGAAGTTGTAGTTCTGATAAGTGCTGTTCTTGAAAAAAGAGCAGTTTGTGTCAGAGCTCTCTCCGCCCCACCTACCTCACAGGGTGCCTGTTGTGGGGAGGGGAAGGGAAAGGAGTTTGTGAGCCGCTCTGAGACTCCTTTGGGTAGTGAAGGGCGGAGTATAAATTCAATCTCCTCCTCCTCCTCCTCTTGCAAATGCAGCTTTTAGGATTGCTTTATCAAGGAAGAGGATCGGGGGGGGGGGCTTTAACCCTTTCATTCCCTGCCATTTTCTCACTAGAAAAAGCCACCTCTGAGATGTTGTTACTCCTGCAGGGGAAAACTTACAGGTACCTTTATTCCCCTCCCCACCCATGGGGTAAAAGGAATTCAGGGGTGGAATTTTTTTTTAGGGAAAAAAAGTCATCGTCCCCCTTTCTCCCGATGCATTTCTCTTCCTTGATAAAGCAGTCTCGGAAGGCTCCATTTGCAGACAAAAAAGAAATGTTTAAAATGAATGTGGAAGTAACATGCCGTCGTTGGAGAGACTTCGATTCAGATCCCCACCCCCTCAGGAAGCACACTGGGTGACCTTGGGGAAAATCACTGTCCGAGGCTGAAATCCTTCCTCACTATCATTTCCCCTTCCTTCTTTTGGGTTAGATAAAGTTTCGGTGGGCGTGCTCACAGCTCAGGGAAGGGAAGTGCATCTTACACGGGTTACTTGGCAGGTTTTCAAACAGAGGCAGTTTTCTCCAGGCCAATTTGGCTGGGGATCCTGGAGGGTTGGAGTTGGTTTTTGTGTGTGTGTGTGTTTTGCTTGTTTTGTTTGCCCTCTTCTGGGCATAGAGCAGGGGGTCATTGGGGGTGTGTGTGGGGTATTTGTGAATTCCCTGCACTGTGCAGAGGGTTGGACTAGATGACCTTGGATGTTATAGAGTTGGTTCCATGGATGAGCAGGCTGGAGTCTGCTGGTCAGCTCAATAAATAAATAAGTAAACTAACTTCATTTGTGATTTCAGCAAGAACAAGACAAGACCCCAGAGCCACAGCTCTGTTAAATAGTAGGCAATTGCCACACCCAAACACGCCCCACTCCCAGTGATAGGCTATCTACATAACATTACTACTTGATTGGTTACTTTCAGAGTCCTGGTAGGCTATTGTTCTTGTGCTCCAAGCTCAGTCTCTGGGACGGCAGACCTGGAATGGTTCCGTCCCAATACGTAACACTGGAGGTCCGTTCCAACTCTTAAGATTCTGTGGTTCTACTTGTGCAGTGCGGGGAAAACGACCTGAATAAAATTGGATTTATAACCCTTTCCCCCCCCCCCTAGAAAACGGAACCCGTCGATTTCTCTTTCAACCCTCTGGCCGACCCCAACTTCATGTTCTGGGACACTGGTCTCTTGGAGGCAGTCAAGCTGGGAGACCCGCACGTCCACGAGTTCTTCCGCCTGCTCTCCCTCTGCCACACGGTCATGTCCGAGGAGAAGAACCCAGGTTGGGATCGGGAACCGCAAGTGGGGGAAGCCGTGGGGTCAGAGACAGAGGGGGAGGGAAGGGCATCTGCTCGGTGCGATCCAGGGGGGTATAGATCTCACCTCTACCAGGGTCCTAAAGAAGGTCTCTTTTGCAGCTGGGGGCCGAATCTCACGCCCTGCATGTTGAGTTCGGAGAACCAGGGCTGCGGTCACACACACACACACACGAAATAATCCGCTTTTGAGCTACGTTCGATGCGCTTTCCAACTGGATTTTACTGTGGCTGATTCTGCATTGGTTTTTCCCTCCGCTGTTTTACCAAACCCACGTTGGAACAGAAATTTCCCCTCTGCATCGCATGCTGCTTTCACTTCCTCTGATCGTCGGATCTAATGGTAGCCTCCAGGCTCCATGCTGCCTTCGCTCCGTGAGCCAGTTTGGTGTAGTGGTGAAGAGTGGCGGACTCTAATCTGGGAGAGCCAGGTTTGATTCCCCACTCCTCCACTTGCAGCTGCTGGATGTCCTTGGGCCAGCCATAGTTCTGTCAGAGCTGTCCTTGAAAGAGCAGACCTCGAAAGAGCTCCCTCAGCCCCACCTACCCTGCAGGGTGTCTGTTGTGGGGAGGGGGAGGGGAAGGAGTTTGTAAGCTGCTCTGAGACTCCGAGTGAAGGGCGGGGTATAAATCCAATCATCTCCTCCTCCTCCTTCTCTTCTTTCTTTGATCATCAGATTTTATTGTACCTTCTGCATAGATCTATGGCCATTTTATGGCCGTTCCAGGGTGACTTTGCCCCGAGGTATTTCAAGGTGGTTTTTGAGCTGCACTTTCCCCTCCCAGTTGAGAAAATGTGGAGCGAATGCCAGATGCAGAATCGCCCTGTGTCAACTGGCAAAATCCAGTTGGAAAGTGGACTGAAAGTGGATTATTTAGAAGAAGAGAAGAAGAAGAGATCGGATTTATACCCTGCCCTTCAGTACCCAAAAGTGTCTCAGAGCGGCTCACAAACTCCCTTCCCTTCCCCTCCCCACAACAGACCCCCTGTGAGGTAGGTGGGGCTGAGAGAGTTCTTGACAGAAACTGCTCCTTTTCAAGAACAGCTCTTATCAGAACTACGGCTTGCCCAAGGTCATCCAGCCAGGTGCAAGTGGAGGAGTGGGGAATCAAACCCGGTTCTCCCAGATTAGAGTCCGCGCACTCAACCACTACACCAAACTGGCTCTCTTGAGTGTGTGTGATCGCAGCCCGACAGTTTAAACCTGCCGTGGGATTCCTGAATCGGTAGTGAAATCATCGCGGTGGCGGAAGGTGCCGCCCCGCTAGGTCTCAGCTGGCTTCTGGTGACCCTGCAGGGTTTTCAAGGCGAGGGACATTCAGAGGTGGTTTGCCCTTGCCTGCCTCTGCATAGCAACCCTGGACTTCCTTGGAGGTCTCCCACGTAAGGACTAACCGGGGCCGACCCTGCTTCGCTTCCATGGTCTGATGAGATCAGTTTGGCCTGGGATATCCAGGTCAGGGCAGAGCGGCCGTCAGAGGCTCCTAAATCTTCATTTACAAAACTGGCCTCACTTAGAGACAACCCAAGTGAGCTTGACCCATGAGAGCTGCTGTTCAAATCCCACCTCCGCCACAAACTCACCAGGTGGCCCTTGGCAAGACTCCCCCATCTTCAAACATGTTTTCTTGCAAGAGACAAATCTAGATGCATCACAGTTGCGTTTCCCAGCTTTTGTGTCCCAACCTACCAGTGGGCCATGAAGGCTGTGAAGGGGAATCCCAGGCTTCTGCAGTTTTATTCACTTGCGAGAGCCAGTTTGGTATAGTGGTTAAGTGCGCGGACTCTAATATGGGAGAACCGGGTTCAATTCCCCACTCCTCCCCATGAAGCCATCTGGGTGACCTCGGGTCAGTCACAAGTTCTCTCAGAGCTGTTCTCTCAAGGGCAGTTCTCATGACAGCTCTCTCAGCGCCACCTACCTCACAGGGTGTCTGTTGTGGGGAGAGGAAGGGAAGGAGATTGTAAGCTGCTCTGAGACTCCGAGTGAAGGGCAGGGGGTATCAATCCAATCTGTTCTTCTGCTTCTTCTAGGGACTTCTTAGAGAGATCTGGCTAGCCACGGCCGGTGACCAAAGCGTTCCACCTTTCTTAAGCTGTTGTTTCTAAGCCCAGCTTCTCGGCCTGAGGGCTCTTTTATGAACAACCATCTGAAATTGTTTTAGGTTTTGGTGTAGTGGTTAAGTGCCAGTTCGGTGTCGTGGTGAAGTGCGCGGACTCTAATCTGGGAGAACCGGGTTTGATTCCCCACTCCTCCACTTGCACCTGGCTGGATGACCTTGGGCAAGCCACAGTTCTGATAAGAGCTGTTCTTGAAAAAAGAGCAGTTTCTGTCAGAGCTCTCTCAGCTCCACCTACCTCACAGGGTGTCTGTTGTGGGGAGGGGGAGGGAAAGGAGATTGTAAGCCGCTCTGAGACTCCTCCAGGTAGTGAAGAGCAGGGTATAAAACCAACTCTTCTTATTCTTTTTTTTTTTTTTAAGTGGGTCATCATCCCAAGTAAATTTGAACTTGTGGATCATGTACCAAAAAGTACATAAGCTGCATGACAAAAAGTACATACGCTGCATGACAGCGTATTTATATTTCCTCTCCTTGCTGCTTTTACTGTTTTGCTGTTCGAAATCTGTGCTTTGGTGATTAATTTTTTAATCTGTTTTTTTTTTTAACCATCATTTTGGTGTGCTTTATTTTTTTAAAAAATTATTTATTTGTTTGTTCGATTTATCCCCCGCCCTCCCCGCCGAAGCAGGCGCAGGGTGGCTTTCTTGTTTCTTTTATGCTTTCGGTTCCGAGAACCATTTTGTCTGGGGGGCGCAGGACCAAAACACTTCACAGAAATAGAGTCCTGAAACCTGTGGGTCCTGATTTCCCTCTCCATCTGGCCAACCTTTGTCTCCCCTCTCTCCTTCCCTTCTCTTCCTACCCTGACAGGGGAACTGTATTACAAAGCCCAGTCTCCGGACGAAGGTGCCTTGGTGACCGCCGCCCGCAATTTCGGTTTCGTGTTCCGCTCCCGCACCCCCAAGACGATCACGGTGCAGGAGCTGGGGCGGCCCGTGACCTACCAGCTCCTGGCCATCCTGGACTTCAACAACGTCCGAAAGCGCATGTCCGTCATTGGTGAGAAAGGAGGAGAGTTGGGGGAGAGGGGAAGGCTCTCAGGGATGCTGGCCTCGGCTTGGGAAAGCTGCTCGACACCAAGCCAGAACTTTGGTCCTTCTGAATCTAACTCAGAGCCGGCTAGTTTGTCTGGCGACAGCTCTGAACACCGGATGCTGATCAATGTTCCCACTTAGCTGTGGAGTCTTGTGAGCAAAAATTCTACTTTGTGAGCTCCTGGCATTAAAGTTGTGAGCGGGCGATTTGGCTCCTGCATCAGTTAGTTTGCTCCGGAGCTGCCATCATTCCTGAGCTGGGACAAAAATCTGTGAGCCAGAGGCTAAAAAACTGTGAGCTAGCTCACACTAACTCAGCTTAGAGGGAACACCTGATGCTGATACTGAATGGGACCCTGGGTCCATCAAGGTCAGTCTTGTCTACTCAGACTGGCAGCCGCTCTCCAGAGTTTCAGGGAGAGGTTTTTCCCATCACCTATCGCCTGACCCTCTTACCTGGAAATGCTGTAATCCTAGGCCTGCGTCCCGGGGGCGGGGGGGGGGGGTTAGCTGTAGCCCAAAGCCTGAGGCCTTTTCTTCATGGAGCCCGCGTGCTCTACCACCGAGCCACAGCCTCTTATGAGTATCTGAAGCTTCCTGAGGATCTTTTAACTTAAGGCACCATTGTATGAACCTGGGACACTCCCTCCCCCTTTGGACGTTCAATGCATGCGCTCTGTCACCAACCCGAGGATCCGCCCATGAATAAAATCTTCTGGGCTGATAAATGGGGGGCTTGGAGAAGGGACAGTATGGCTTTTTCTCTCCCCCCACTCCTCCAAATTGGGGTGACCAAAAGAGACGTAGAATCATAGAATCACAGAGTTGGAAGGGGCCACAGAAGCCATCTAGTCCAACCCCCTGCTGCATGCAGGATCCACCTAGAGCATCCCTGACAAGGGTTTGTCCAGCCGCTGGTTAAAGATGGCTAGAGAGGGGGAGCTCACCACCAGGGCCGGCTCCAGCTTATTTTGCACCCTAGGCGAGGATCCCTTCTGGGGGCCCTGTGCACCCACCAATTTTCAAAAATAAATGCATTTTAGGAAGAATGAAAAACACAAATAATCAAGAAACTTCCAGAGTACGGGGCTGGGTGCAGTTTGGTGCCCCTAAGGGCCGTCCTGCTCTAGGCAATCGCCTAGTGAGTGACCCGGCCCTGCTCACCACCTCCCGAGGCAGCCCATTCCACTGCTGCACCACTCTTACCATCAAAACGTTTTCCCTAAGATCCAGCCGGTACCTTCCTGCCCTTCATTTCAACATATTCTCGTGAGTCCTCTCCTCTGCTGCCGACAGGAACAGCTCCCTTCCCTCTTCCTCTCAGCGACAGCCCTCCAGATACTTCAAGAGAGCCATCCTGTCCCCCCTCAGCCTCCTCCTCTCCAGACTGAACATTCCCGAGTCCCTCGGCCTCTCCTCACAGGGCTTCTTGGTCTCCAGGCCCCCGATCGTCCTCGTCGGTCTCCTCTGCACCCGCTCCATTCTGCCCACATCCTTTTGGAAGGGAGGCCTCCGGAACTGCACACAGTACTCCAGGTGTGGCCTGACCAATGCAGTGTACGGTGGGACTATGATATCTTGCAACCTGGATGTCTGTTTTCCTGACATTCAGTGGGAAGTGAATATGCCCAGGGAAGGACATGAGGGGATTAGAGAAACATGTGGAGTAGGAGTCCTAGAATCACAGAGCGGGAAGGGGCCCTACAGGCCATCTAGTCCAACCCCCCTGCTCAATGCAGGATCAGCCTAGAGCATCCCTGACCGCTGTTTGTCCAGCCGCTGCTTCAAGACGGCCAGGGAGGGGGAGCTCACCACCTCCCCAGGGCAGCTGATTCCACTGTCGCACAACTCTGTCAAAAGGTTTTTCCAAGGATTCATACAGTACCTTCCTGCCCTTCATTTAAACCCGTTCTTGCGAGTCCTCTCCTCTGTGGCCAACAGGCACAGCTCCCTGCCCTCCTCTAAGAGGGACAGCCCTTCAGATACTTCAAGAGAGCCATCCTGTCCCCCCTCAGCTTCCTCTTCTCCAGACTGAACATGCCCAAGTTCCTCTTTCCCCGCTTACACATCTGCTTGCATAAAAACAAGGTAAACAACCTAAGGCTTGCCCTGGGTTGGCCCAGGGCCTGTGTCATCCAGGACCCCGTTCCCACCACTGGCCGGATGGATGCTTCTGGGAAGCCTGCAACCTGGTCATGAACGCATCGGCTGTCCTCTGTTGATTCCTTCCAGCGGCTCGTTCTCAGAGGTATACTGCCTCTGAATGTGGAGGTTCTATAGAGCTGCCGTGGCTAAACAGCTGCTAATAGATGTCCTCCTCCTCCTCCTCTCTTATCTCCACCCTCGATTTCCCGCCCTCTCGACACAGTCTTGCCCCCTTCCCATTTGAACTCAAAAGCGGTTTCTCCTCTTTTCTCCTTCTCCCTCCCTCCCCCCCCTCCAAGTGCGGAACCACGAGGGGCAGATCCGTCTGTACTGCAAGGGAGCCGACACCATCTTGCTCGAGCGGCTTCACCCCGGCAACCAGGAGCTGTACAACGTCACCACTGACCATCTGAATGTGAGTCAAGGGTGGGGAAGCAGGGGATGGGGAAGCGGGGTCTGACAGGGGGTGAGAAAAGGGGGACCACATTCCCGTGGTCATCTTGGATCTGGGCAAGTCATGTGATTTGTTTTCATGAAGTTTAGGGGTTGGCTCTGGGCAGAGGGAGCCCATGGGGGGAGCCCAAATTGAAATCCCCCCCCCCCCCGCCCGCCCGAAACAGGAAAATATTTGATAGAAAGATGTGGGGAAATGTATAACATTTGTCTGCATAACAGTGGGAGATTTTTCTGAACCACGTAAAGCTGTCTCACGCTGAGTCATAGAATGATAGAATCACAGACTTGGAAGGGGCCATAAAGGCCATCTAGCCCAACCCCCTGCTCAGTGCAGGATCAGGCTAGAGCATCCCTTCTGATGTCCTTATGGGGGAAGGCCTCAGCCTCTCTGCCCTGTTGTTGGCCCTCCAGAGGAAGTAGTTGAGGCCACTGTGTGAGGCAGGATGCTGGACTAGAGGGACCCTCGCTGGTCTGACCCAGCAGGGCTCTTCTGATGTTCTTCTGAGGGGAAGGCCTCGGCCTCTCTGCCCTGTTGCTGGCCCTCCAGAGGAACTGGTTGAGGCCACTGTGTGAGATGGGATGCTGGACTAGAGGGACCCTCAGTGGTCTGACCCAGCAGGGCTCTTCTTATGTTCTTATGAGGGGAAGGCCTCGGCCTCTCTGCCCTGTTGTTGGCCCTCCAGAGGAACTGGTTGAGGCCAGTGTGTGAGACAGGATGCTGGACTAGAGGGACCCTCACTGGTCTGATCCAGCAGGGCTCTTCTGATGTTCTTATGAGGGGAAGGCCTTGGCCTCTCTGCCCTGTTGTTGGCCCTCCAGAGGAACTGGTTGAGGCCAGTGTGTGAGACAGGATGCTGGACTAGAGGGACCCTCACTGGTCTGACCCAGCAGGGCTCTTCTGATGTTCTTATGAGGGGAAGGCCTCGGCCTCTGTGCCCTGTTGTTGGCCGTCCAGATGAACTGGTTGAGGCCACTGTGTGAGACAGGATGCTGGACTAGATGGACCCTCACTGGTCTGATCCAGCAGGGCTCTTCTGATATCCTTATGAGGGGAAGGCCTCGGCCTCTCTGCCGTGTTGCTGGCCCTCCAGAGGAACTGGTTGAGGCCACTGTGTGAGACGGGATGCTGGATGAGATGGACCCTCACTGGTCTGATCCAACAGGGCTCTTCTGATGTCCTTATGAGGGGAAGGCCTCGGTCTCTATGCCCTGTTGTTCTGCTCTAGATGGACCCTCACTGGTCTGATCCAATAGTTCTTACGAGGGAGCAGGCCCAAGAGTGATGGGAAGGTGCCCCAACCACCGCTGACCTCTCCCTTTGCACACGGGGGAGCGATGGGGCCCAGAGGCCGAGAGTGAGTGTATACCGAGGAGGGGGGACCGTTTAGGAAGGGGACCCGTGAGGGCATCTGTCCCAAGGGCCTTGTCAGAACCTGGACTGGAAGAAAGAATGAGAATTGGTGTTTCTCACAAGCCTTTTAGGAGAAAGTTCCAGACCTGAGGGGCAGTGAGAGATGAGCACCTCGGAGGGGCGTATGAACGATAGTGATCTGCCGACACCGGTGTGGTGTCACCCCCGTGAGCTTCCCCTCCTGTCCCGCTCTCGCTTCCAGGAATACGCCGGCGAGGGTCTCCGAACGTTGGTGCTGGCCTATCGCGACCTGGAGGAAAGCTACTATGCCAGTTGGGCTGAACGGCTGCATCGGGCCAGTATGACCAGCGAGGGCCGTGAGGAGAGGGTGGCCCGGTTGTACGAGGAAGTGGAGAACGACATGGTGGTAAGGGCAGGCCACCGAGATGGGTTGCCTCCTTCACCCTTCTTTCCCCCAGCGATGAATTAATGCCACTTAACACAACCTGTTACTGATGCAGAACAACGACTTGAACAAACGCCTCCCCCCCCCCTTTTGGTTATTGAGGAATTGTATAGTTCTCGATGCTTGAAAAAAGCAAAGAACATTCTGCAGGATTTGTCACACCCTGAACACTCCCTGTTTGAACTGCTGCCTTCGGTAGAAGATATAGGACAATCAAAACAAGGACAAACAGATTAAAAAACAGTTTTTATTCGAGAGCTATTATTGCTTTAAATGCTGTATGAATTGGAATTTGGTGGTTTTGTTGACATTGGTGGTTAAGTTGCAATGTGAACCCTAATGGTTGTGTGAGTGTATATGAGTATGGTTGTGTGAGTGTATATGAGTATGCTTGTAGATCACCGAATGATTGCACCTTAATTTCGTTGTACTATGTACAATGACAATAAAGTATATTATTATTATTATTATTATTATTATTAAGTGTTGATTTTTTTGTCCCTGGTAGGAGAGCCCCTGTCTCTGTAACAGAAAGTTTCTGGTCCATAAGACTCAGCTTCTGTGTCTGTCAGGGCTTTTTTTTCCTGTGGGAATGTGCCAGAATGGAGTTCCGGAACCTCTTCAACAAAATTATTTTAAGAATGTTTAAAAGTTCATGAGTTTTCAGTATACGGATCGAAAACTTCCATTTCCCTCTTGAGAGTTCCAGCAGCTCTTTCTCCGCCTGTGGGAAGGGTGGGCTATAAATATGAACATAAATAAAATTTTAAAAGCCCTGGTGGCTGTTCTTCTTTCTGATAAGAGCACCAGAGCCCTGCTGGATCCGACCAAGGGGGACCGTTCAGACTTGCTTCCCAGCGAGGGTTGCCACTGTTATCGGTATTCAGAGGGACGCTGCCTTTGAACAGTTTCTCTGTTCTCCTTCTCCTTCTTCTCTGTCTGGTTTCACTTCACTGCTTCTTCCCACATGAGCCACTGACCGGCTTCTACTCCCCTCCCTTCTGCTGCCAAAATTTCCCTCAGCTTCTTTCTCCCTCCCCTCCTCCCACGACACGTTGATTTATTTAGTGCGGTTTCCCGCCCTTCCTCCAAGGAACTGAGGTAGTATCCATTATTCTCTCCTCCTCCATTTTGTCCTCATAGCAACAACCCTGTGAGATAGGCTAGGCTGAGAGAAAATGACCAGCCCAATGCCACACAGGCAGAGCAGAGATTCAAACCCGGACCTACCAGATCCTAGTCTGACACACCATTGGGTTTTTTGGCCATCAAGTCAAGCTGCCTTCCGGCGACCCTTCATGGGGATTGACGGCAAGGTGGTTTGCCTTCACTTGCCTCTGTATCCCGGCCCTGGTATTCATTGGAGGTCTCCCTTCCAAGTACTTGCCAGGGTCAGCCCTGCTTAGCTTCCGCGGTCTGGGGTCAGGGCTGATACTGGGTTTTTTTGGGTGTGTGTGTATTTGTGTGTGTGCGCGCGCGCTTGAGATCCTGGAAATCATGGTTGACTTCTGGTGACCCCTAGTGGGGCGAGGACATTCTCCAGGGAGACAGCTTGCTATGGCCTGCCTCTGCATCCCGGCCCTGGTATTCCTTGAAGGTCCCCCATCCAAATACCTGCCAGGGTCGGCCCTGCATAGCTTCCGAGATCTGACGAGATCGGGCTTGCCTGGGCTATCCAGGGCAGGGCAGGGCTGACACTCTTTACTTCTACCACCATGCTAGCTGTCTGACGTCATAAGATCAGTTCGTTTTCACTTCCTTTGTAACCCTGTCTTTTGCCTCAGTGGGGATCCAAAGAGGCTCACATCCTTCTCCTCTCTTCCATTTGATCCTCACAACAACCCTGTGAGGTAGGTTAGGCTGAGAGAGTGTGACAGGCCCCGCGTCACCCAGTGAGCTCCCATGGCACGATCGGGGATTCAAACCCAGGTCTGCCAGATACTAGTCTGATGCTCTTAACCACTACCCGACGCTGGCTGTCATTTATGTCATTTATACCCCTCCTGTCTCCCGCAACGGAGACGAACAGTGGCTTACGTTGTTCTCCCTTTCTCTGCTTTGTGTTCAGAACAACCCTGTGAGGTAGGTCTGGCTGAGAGTATGTGACTGGCCCAAAGGTCACCCAGTGAGCTTCCGTGGCAGAGTAGGGGTTTGAATCTGGGCCTCCCAGATCCTAGCCTGACATTCTAGCTACCACGCCATGCTGGCTTTACCGCATAACAGCAGGCAAGACGTCTCTTTCCAAGCAGCTTCAGGGAATCCCCCAGCCTGCTGACCTCAGACACTCATTGCAGCACGGCTGGCTCCCTTTGGGTGCACTGGGCTAAATGCTAAAAGAGGCACTCCCTGTCATGAGAACATAAGAGACGCCAATGTTGGATCAGGCTAAAGGCCCATCCAGTCCAACACTCCGTGTCACACAGTGGCCAGAAATACCAGGTGCCACCAGGAGGTCCACCAGTGGGGCCAGGATATTAGAAGCCCTCCCACTGTTGACCCCCCCTAAGCACCAAGAAGACAGAGCATCACTTGCCCCAGAGTCCCTATCTATACCTTGTGGCTAATAGCCACTGATGGACTTCTGCTCCATATGCTTATCTAATTCCCTTATGAAGCCGTCCATGCTTGTAGCTGCCACCACTTCCTGTGGCAGTGAATTCCAAGTGTTAATCACTCTTTGGGTGAAGAAGGACTTCCTTTTATCCGTTCTAACCCGACCACTCAGCAAATTCATGGAGTGCCCACAAGGAGTTCTTGTATTGTGAGAAAGGGTCCCAGAGTCACGTCATCTCCTCCAGTTTGGTGTGGTGGTTGGGAGAACCGGGTTTGATTCTCCCGCTCCTCCACATGCAGCTGCTGGTGTGACCTTGGATCAAGGGACAAAAGGAGGTGGGGGGGGACTTAACCCTGAAACCTGGGATACAGAACCTAAAAAGGTAAGTCAAACAGAATAGAGGGCCAACAATAAAAACGATGTAGTATGAAAAGATATATGCATTTATTAACAAGGAATTAAAAAGCATATAAGGGCCTAATCACACCTCATGTAAAAATGCCAAAATCAAGCACACAAGGGCCAATGGACTTGACCTGATGCGTTTCGGCCTGTGTAGGCCTTCTTCAGAGGTCAAACACAGTGAGGAGCATACTGGCTTATATCATTGTACAGTACAATCATACAGTTATGCAACATGGATACAAGATGGACCAGAAAAGAATTGTTGGCCCTCTATTCTGTCTGACTTACCTTTTTAGGTTCTGTGACCTTGGATCAGTCACAAGTTCTCTCAGAGCTGTTCTCTCAAGGGCAGTTCTCAAGAGAGCTCTCTCGGCCCCACCTGCCTCACAGGGTGTCTGTTGTGGGGAGGGGAAGGAAAAGGAGATTGTTAGCCGCTCTGAGCCTCCTTCAGGCAGTGAAGGGGCAGGGTATAAATCCAATCTCTTCTTCTCTTGCCCTCCAGCTCCTGGGAGCCACCGCCATCGAGGACAAGTTACAGCAGGGAGTTCCAGAGACCATCGCCCTTCTCACGCTAGCAAACATCAAGATCTGGGTCTTGACCGGAGATAAGCAGGGTGAGAGGCACTTTGGTGGGGCTGGGTGGTTTGGGGGGTTGGTGTGTTTGTTCGTTTTGAGGTAAGTCACTGAAGATATCCTAACCAGCCAGTCCTAGAAGTTGGTTAGTTAATTAGTTAAATTTGCACGTGAGCAAAAAAAATAGTTCTGGAAGGAAAAAAAGCCTGCTGAAAGTGTTTCTAGATGAGATTCGTGTCATAAAAATATATTGGAAGAGGCATTCCCCTGTCTCTCTCTTTCGGGGGGGAATGCCTCTCCTAAGAGGACTGAAGAAGCCCTCATCAGCCAATCCTAAAAACGTGTCAGCGAAAAGCGTGCTGGAAGTGTTTCTAGATGAGATTCGTGTCATAGAAATATCTTGGAAGAGGCATTCCCCTGTCTCTTTCGGGGGGGGGGGAATGCCTCTTCTCAGAAAACTGAGGGAATCTTAAACAATCAGTCCAAGAAGTTTGCCAGTTAACTGGTCGAATTTGAATGCGAGCAAAAATTCAAAAAACCTTTCCAGAAGCAGGAAAACACACTTACATTGTTTTTAGATTAGATGTGCACCACCTTAGAAGAGGCATGCCCACTTCTTTCTCTTTCGGGGGAACGCCTCTTCTAAGAGAATGTCATGACACATGCTGGGGTTGTAATGAACAAGAGGCCTTTCCTTTTCTAGCATGGGGGGGATGCCTCTTCTAAGATGCCATCGTGAGGCGAGCATGCGGCAGCAGTCTTCTTAGAAGAGACATTCCCCTTCTCTTTTTCAGGGGGAATGCCTCTTCTAAGAGAATGTCATGTATACTTGTGTCTCAGCCAGGCTCTGTCTTAGAAGAGGCATTCCCCTGAACAAGAATGCCTCTTCTAACAAAACATGATGAACAAAAGGTTTTTTTAAAAATCAGTTGCTTAGATTCCTCAACTAAATGTTCATCTTTGGTCTTCTGTGCAGTCCCACATTAGGACTGTGCACACAAGGCCAAATGTGTGCCTGCACAGAAGATGAACAACAGTTACAGGTAAGTGCAACACTGTTTTGGAACCCTGATTTGTTTATTACGTTTCAATATCCCAGAAATCCTCTGCATTTCCTAGTTTTGAGCTCCATCATTCAAAATGGTTTCTGGGACTGAGCCCTTACGAACATAAGAGAAGACATGTTGGATCAGGCCAGTGGCCCATCCAGTCCAACACTCTGTCACACAGTGGCCAAAAATACCAGGTCCCATCAGGAGGTCCACCAGCGGGGCCAGAACTCCAGGAGCCCTCCCTCTGTTCCCCCCAAGCACCAAGAATGCACAGCATCATTGCCCCAGACAGAGTGTTCCCTCTAGACCTTATTGGCTAATACTCACTCATGAGCCTTTGCTCTGAAGAACATAAGAGAAGCCATATTGGATCAGGCCAATGGCCCATCCAGTCCAACACTCTGTCACACAGTGGCCAAAAATACCAGGTCCCATCAGGAGGTCCACCAGCGGGGCCAGAACTCCAGGAGCCCTCCCTCTGTTCCCCCCAAGCACCAGGAATACAGAGCAACACTAGTGGCCCCAGACAGAGTGCTCCATCTATCCCTTGTGGCCAGTGGTTTGTAGCCGCCACCACTTCCTGCGGCAGTGAATTCCACGTGTTCATGACTCTCTGGGTGAAGAAGGACTTCCTTTGATCCGTTCTAAGCCTGCCGCACCTTAATTTCACGGAGCGCCCACGAGTTCTTGTATTGTGAGAGAGGGCGAAAAGGACTTCTTTCTCGGCCTTCTCTGTCGCAGGCATAACGTTGTAAACCTCTATCACGTCACCCCTCCTGAGGTCTGGGGCGTGGATTTAGATCCGGACCCTGGCTCAGCTCTCGCTTGTTTCTCCAGAAACGGCCGTGAACATTGGCTACTCCTGCAAGATGCTGACGGACGAGATGACCGAGGTGTTCATCATCACAGGGCACACGGTTCTGGAGGTGCGGCAAGAGTTGCGGTGAGTCGGGCCCGTGGCCGGACGCGGGGTGGCGCTGGACTCTGGCCAGTCTAGATTAGTGGTGATGCTAAGCATGCTAAGAGATGAACAGAACAGATGAAGCCGCCTTACACTGAATCAGGCCCTCGGTCCATCAAGGTCAGCATTGTCTACTCAGACTGGCTGCAGCTCTCCAGGGTCTCGGGTAGAGGTCTTTCACAGGAACGACTTCCCAACAGTTCGAGCGATTCCTCAGTGGGGACAGGCTTCCTCGGGAGGGGGTGGGGCTCTCCTGCTTTGGAGGTTTTCAAGCAGAGGCTCGATGGCCATCTGACAGCCATGCGGATTCTGTGAACTTGGGCAGATCATGAGAAGGGAGGGCAGGAAGGGTCGCCTCGGGGCTTAGTTCTCGTGGACCTTTCTTACACACAGGAGTCATTTCCTGCAGGAGCGCACAGGAGTGGAGCTCCGGCAGTAAAGAGCCCAGGGGGCGGGCACATGCAACAAGCCCCACCCCCTGCTCCCAGCAGCCCTCAGTCAGAGCAAGAAGCAGCCAGGTAAGTGGAGCCTGAGCGGTGGGTGTTGCCTTCTGACACACTTCCGGTGATGTCAAGGGGGTGTGGCCTATGCAAATAAGTTATGCTAATGAGTTATGCTAATGAGCTCCTGCACCTCTTTTTCTACGAAATGACCCCTGCTTACATGCCCGGGGAAATGCTGATCGGCACTTTGGGGTCAGGAAGCAATTTTTCTCCAGGCCAGTTTGGCCGGGGATCTTGGTGGGTTTTTGCCATCTTCTGGGCATGGAGCAGGGGTCACTGGGGGTGTATGTGAGGGGGGAGGTGTTTGTGAATTTCCTGCATTGTGTAGGGGGGTTGGACTAGATAACCCTGCAGGTCTCTTCCAACTCTGTGATTCTATGATTCACCCACTGCCTGATTCTTTCAACTGGAGATGCCAGGGATTGAATCTGAGACCTTCTGCATGCCGAGCAGAGGCTCCGCCACTGAGCCACAGCCCCTCCCCAAATGGGATTCTTGATATGAATATGTTAGTAGGAACATGTGTGAAGCCTCCTTATACTGAATCAGACCCTCGGTCCATCAAACTCAGCCCCGTCTACTCAGACCGACAGCAGCTATTCAAGGTCTCAGGCTGAGATCTTTCCCATCACCAGTGGCCTGAGTGTTACAGGAGATGCCGGGGATTGAACCTGGGACCTTCCACGTGACAAGCAGAGGCTCTGCCACTGAGCCATGGCCCTACTAGATCCAAAGGTCTCAATATGACAGATTTGTGTAACAGATCAACAATTGGAAGTTATGCAGCAACATGTATCCCAGACATGTGAACATGTTTCTGTCCTCTTTTTCAAAGCCGCATCTCCCTTCCGTCGTGGAGATCAAAATTCAAGTCGGAACCAATGCTCTAGGGGGACCGATATGCTGCACTGAAGCGCTTGATAGCCAGGAGGCAACTGGTTGAAAGAGATTTCCTAGCGCATTGGTTTGTCATTTCGGTATTTCAAAATATTCATTTAAAGCCTGAGTAGACGATCCAGACCTGATTCAGTACAAGGCTGCCTCATGTGTGTGCCATAAGGGGAGGAGCTGTTGCTTAGTGGTAGAGCCTCTGCTTGGCATGCAGAAGGTCTCAGGTTCAATCACTGGAGGAGTGGTGGGGGGATGGTCGTTGTGAATTTCCTTTCATCGCGCAGAGGGTTGGACTAGAAGACCCTCGAGGTCCCTTCCAACTTTGTGTCTATATTTCTAGGTAGACAATACTGACCGTGATGGGTCAGTTTCCGTATTGGCCTAGACATTGGGACTAGATGACCCGTGAGGTCTAGTCCAACTCTATGTTTCTAAGTAGACAAATACTGACTGTGATGGACCAAGGATCAGTTTCCATATTGGCCTAGATGCTGGACTAGATGACCCGTGAGGTCCCATCTGTGTTTCTAATAGACAATACTGACCTTGATGGACCAAAGATCAGTTTACGTACAAGGCAGTTTCATGTGTACACGTGATATGTTAAGAGTCACACAAGAACAGAAGCGAGCGTTCTCCGTGGTAGAGGCTTTACCAAGAGCATCGAAAGAGACGGCCAAGAGGAGGCTGGCTCCTGAGATCCCCCCCAGATGTTGCTCACCAGCTTCCAAGCCTATTTTGTTACCCTGAAGGTCGGAAACTCACACAGCACTGAAGCAACACACGGGCTGAGCTCTGAGGCTGCTTTGGAAACATCCTGTCCTGGGGCGAGACCAGGACCTGGTTCGATGCTGGTTTCCCAGGGCTCTAGCTCTGATCTCAGGGTTTGGAAGGCAGGAAAAGCTTTCCCCTCCATCGCTCGCCCTTATTCCTCCTTTCCCCTCCCTCTGCCGGCAGGAAGGCCCGAGAGAAGATGCTGGACTCCTCGCGGTCCGTGGGAAACGGGTTCGCCTACCCGGAGAAAGTGTCTGCCTCGAAACTGACCTCGGTGCTGGAGGCAGTGGCCGGAGAGTATGCCCTGGTCATCAATGGGCACAGCCTGGTAAGGGAGGTCCGGGGGGGGCACTTAGAAAGAAACATACTTAGGCAGATCGCGAGAGGGAGGGTGAGAAGGGGTGAGCCAGCGCTCGGCTCTCGTGGCCCTTTCTTACATGCCCAGGGTAATTAACTTTTAGTATGTAGTTACATAAGAACACAAGAAGAGCCCTGCTGGATCAGACGTGTGAGGGTCCATCTAGTCTAGCATCCAGTCTCACACAGCGGCCTCAACCAGTTCCTCTGGAGGGCCAACAACAGGGCGGAGAGGCCGAGGCCTTCCCCTCAGAAGAACATCAGAAGAGCCCTGCTGGGTCAGACCACTGAGGGTCCATCTAGTCCAGCATCCTGCCTCACACAGGGGCCTCAACCAGTTCCTCTGGAGGGCCAACAACAGGGCAGAGAGGCCGAGGCCTTCCCCTCATAAGAACATCAGAAGAGCCCTGCTGGATCAGACCAGTGAGGGTCCATCTAGTCCAGCATCCTGCCTCACACAGGGGCCTCAACCAGTTCCTCTGGAGGGCCAACAACAGGGCAGAGAGGCCGAGGCCTTTCCCTCATAAGAACATCAGAAGAGCCCTGCAGGATCAGACCAGTGAGGGTCCCTCTAGTTCAGCATCCTGCCTCACACAGTAGCCTCAACCAGTTCCTCTGGAAGGGCCAACAACAGGGCTGAGAGACCGAGGCCTTCGCCTGATGTTGCCTCCTGGCTCTGGGATCCAGAGGCTTAGTGCCTCTCAATGTGGAGGTTCCCCTCAGTCACCATGGCTAGCAGCCATTGACAGACTTATCCTCCATGAATCCATCTAATTCCCTTTTAAAGCTGTCTGTGCCTGCGGCCATCACTACATCCTCTGGCAGTGAATCCCATGTTTTACTCACTCTCTGTGTAAAGTGGTATTTCCTTTTGTCCATCCTGAACCTACTGCCCTACCGTCATGTAACTGCAGCAGTCGATTCTGATGCCACAAACGGAAACAACGAATTAGAAAGAGAACTATGGTATAGGCCCTCAGTCCGATCCCGACCCCCTAAAACTGGGCTGTGTTGAAATGTGACAAAATAATCATGGATTTGGATGCCCTTTTAGCACTTCCATAGGCAGAGGGATGACAGTCTGCAGAGCATGACTTTCTCATCTCCCCATGGGGAGGTGAGAAAGTCACGCTTCTCAGATGGGTGTCCTTCTACCTGCAGAAGTGCTCCGTTAGATCCGCAGCATGGCTCTGTGTGCTGCAAACGAAGGAGCCCCGAAGAACTTCGGGGCGCATCTGGCTTCTTCCCTCCACATTGCGCATGGCTCAGGGATTTCTTTTCCTTTCCTCCCCGTGCCTCTGTCCTCTTCCGAACCCGTTCCCCGCAGGCGCACGCCCTGGAGGCCGACATGGAGCTGGAGTTCCTGGAGACGGCCTGTGCCTGCAAAGCCGTCATCTGCTGCCGCGTCACCCCCCTGCAGAAGGCCCAGGTGGTGGAGCTGGTCAAGAAGTACAAGAAGGCCGTCACCCTGGCCATTGGGGACGGGGCCAACGACGTCAGCATGATCAAGAGTGAGTGGCTGGAGCAGGGGAGGTCTTTCTGGGATGGGCAACGTTTTGGGGTCCAGTGTTCAAGAAACCATCTGCTATGGATCCACAAGGGTTAAGCTGACTCTAAATATTATAAAAATGCAAAATTTATTCAGGTGTACACATTTTAAAACTTAGACTCATTAAAAATATACCATTCAGACATAAAAAAACTTCTCAACATTCATACATAGATGGGTTAGTGCTGTGCAACTGAACCAAACGCGTTTCGGCCCCTCAAAGGGCCTTCCTCAGTGGTCACAAGTCCAATTATAAATTTGACATTCAAAAATTTTTTTCATAAGATGTTACATAGATACACAGTACAAGGCCAGATGTTGTTTCCTAAATACTTCTGTATTTGTTTATTATTATTCTATAAGCTGGGCCTCCAGTCTAGCCAATTAAAGTCCACCAATAATTCTGGTAGCACAAACTTGCGTGAGTTGAATGTATGTCACTCCATCCTGACCAGAATTTGTACAGGATGGAGTGACATACATTCAACTCACGCAAGTTTGTGCTACCAGAATTATTGGTG